TAAATATTTATAATATTGGCATGACTGTTGTATCCAGGGAAGTCCCGAGATTCAATTTGTTATTCATTTGTTATTTCTTACTAAGTTTGCCTGTAATAAAGTGAATAACACAACAACGTATCGAAAAACACGAGAAACAACAATTTCAGACAGAAAAATTATATTAAAATTATCAAAAGAGGGAAATTCATATTCTACAATAGCTAAAATAGTAAATAGAAGACGTTTCATCGTAAGAAATATCGTTAAACGGTTTCCTGACGAACAAAATGTAAAAAATCTTCCACGAAGTGGTCGTCCACAGAAATTATCAGAACGAGATAAACGAAAAATTACCAAGATTGTAAACAAAATCCTAAAGTTACCTCTACAGAAATAGCGGCACAAATGAAAAGTGAAAATAAGGTAGATGTACATCCTATAACTATCCGGAGAGTTTTTAAAAGTGCCGGGTACAATTCAAGAATGGCTAGAAGAAAACCATTGATCAGCAAAATTAATCGAAAAAACAGATTAGAGTTTGCAGAAATGTACGTACACAAAAATTTAGAATTTTGGGATAGAATACTCTTCTCTGACGAAAGTAAATTTAATATTTTTAAATCTGATGGTCAAATAAGAATATGGCGAAAGCGTAATACCGAGTTGGATTCGCATAACATAGTCTCAACTGTTAAACACAGGGGTGATAGTGTATTAGTATGGGGTTGTATGAGTTCCTCCGGACTTGGAGAACTAGTTTTTATAGACGGTATTATGGATAAATTTGTATATTTAAATATTTTGAAACAAAACTTAAAAAAAAGTGTGGAAAAATGAAATCTTGGGGAAAACTACTATTTCCAACAAGATCATGATCCCAAGCATACTGTTTATATTGTCCGCCAATGGATCGTTTTTAATACACCCCATACATTGCCAACCCCTTCTGAGTTAGATAAATGAGATAAATGAGTTAGAAAGAAGGATCCGAAAACACCTTATTCAGACAAAGGAGCAATTAAAAGATGCACTTATGAAGGAATGGAACGAAATAGGTTTAGAAGTAACACAAAATTTAGTACATTCGATGCCTAATCGGTTACAAAATGTAATAAGACAAAAAGGATTACAAACAAAATATTAATTTGAATATTGTATTATGAAATAGTAAGTGTGCCAATACTTTTGTTTCGTCGAAAACTGCCCTGTATGTGTTTGTTATTATTTTTTATTATTACAGGTCTACTTAATCGCTTTGTTTCGCGAGATACTTAAAGTTCAAACCTCAAACTTATATTTTATACCAAAAAAAAGGAAGATATTATGCTTTGTTCACAGTTACATAACATTTTATTTGAAAATACGCTCTATGCTAATACTTTTGTTCGGCACTGTAGTTACCTGTGATTCCCCACATTCTATGGCGAAAAACTGACAATGTTGCCAACTGTTCGAGTTTTACTTTGAGCTACTGTATTTTAATCGATATTTTATCTAACCTATAGCGATTTACACAAATTACAATGTAATTTAATTCATTTATTCATAAATTCAAGAAAATCAAGGTACAAAAATTAATTTAATTTTGTTTTAAATAGAGGAAAAATAACAATGAAGTAAGATATTTATATGAAATGAGGTATTTACTTCAGAAAGTTTAAACTGCTTCAAAATATTTAAAATAGTTAATACATAATGGCACTTTACAAATATCACATTGATAAATCGATTCCTTTCTAATATTTTGATATTTGCAAGTAGTACAACGACCACTGGTTTTTCTTTCCCTTGCTAAAATTTGTGGAATTCTTACTGAATAATGTTGATCCACAAATCTTGTTGGTAAAATAATGGATTTCGGGCCAGTTGAACATGTTTCTTTAGATATCCAAACGTTATGTACCAAGTTTTTCTACAGAATAATGGGAACCTCCCAAAGTGAACTTCTTTTTATTTATTTATAAAAAAAAATTTTGCTAGAGTCACAAACGATCCCAATATGTCATTTGAAAGTTAAATATACTAGACTGAATCAGTTCAAAGCATAATGTAATGAGTTTTACTGATATAGAAACAAAGGGAAAAGGAGACCTATGCAGAATTCAAACCCACAATTTTCAGATTACTGGATCTTTGATTATTTAGTTGTCTTATCAATCTCGACATCTCCATATTGCTAATTATTCCAATGTTAATGGTATCTTGTCTGCTGTGGATATATGGGGATTTCCATTCCCACACTAATAATGAGAAAATTGATATGTTTAATGTGTTTGTGAAATACAGTGATGATGGACATAACAATGAAATGATGTATTGTACAGAATATTTTGATCAAGAACAACTCCTTCGAATATACTTTTACATCTAATCCAGAAATTCTTTCCTCCAAGGTTCTTTCAAAGAAGAAAGTTTATTCTTTTCTTTCTTTCATGTCTTTCTTTTAAACCGATGACATGATAGTTTAAATTAAAACTAATTGTGCAAGTGTAACTGCTACACAATTTGAGTCTGTAATGGAAAATATAAAAGCGTAATAAAATATTTATGGGTTCATGGTAGAATGTTTGAGCAAATACATACTAGGATAAAGTAATAATAAGTATGAAGTATCTCATAAAGTATTATGTTTTTAATAATTATGTTATGTATAAAAATACGAAAGTTGATTTATGTAAAAAATGTGCATTAAAAAACTGATGTAGTGCATATGGTACTTTCATCTTTGTACTATCAAAAAATTTATTTTATGTTGATAAAGACATTTGAAGCTTGCTTAGAAAATAAACTTGTCATTTATTTTCTATTTCGATGTTTTGACAGTTCAAATATTGCGTCAGATTGAACAAGTTAATAATAATAATTACATTATTATAGTTAATAATAATTTTACATTCTTATTGCTCTCCTCTACTTTTATGTAATCTGCACGCAATTTATTTCAATTTTAACCTGCGATGGTTTTCTTTTTATTTGACTTAATCAACCAAATTTTGGCTTTTTAGGCATTAGTAAATAATTATACTGTTATTCTCCATCAATGTATATTCTCCCACCATATCTGCATTATAATATCATATTACTCTTGTGTTTTGATTAAAATATCAATAATTTTGTGTTGTTTCTCTATTAACTCCTTGCATTCGAGGAATGTTTCGGCACGCAGAAATCCAGTCTGCTTTTTCAGTACAGTTTTTAATAACAAACGGTTACAAATGGTTCTTACCGTATTTATTTTAATTTTCTGATAATAATTCTTATTTTAATTTTAAAACACTCTGGCGAGAAGCGTTACTCGGTTGCGAAGGGTTAATTTTCTAAAAATTCCGAGATTTTATCCCTTCTTCCTCGGAAACAGCGAATACAAATAATTAATAAATTCGATTTAGTAATTTATGTACTAATTACTACGTAATTAACGAATTAGGTAACAGTTGCAGTGGTAGTATTTTTAATTATTTGTATTCGTTCCTTGATGTATCTTCTACGCGCATCTTGCTACCTACCCGGCGCGGTGGCTATTCGAGTTCGGACGGCCCTGAGTGCGCGGAAGGCGAGCGTCGTGATTGGTCATTGTTTTTCGTTAATAATTCAAAAACGAAGCCCTATCCGATATTTTTGCAAAGGAAATTGTTGTTCAGAATCGTCTCAGCTACCCCCCATTTCCGGTTCTTACACTATTTACGGGACACCCTGTATAAGTTTCTTTCATTATTTCTCCAAATATTTTTGTTACTTACGAAAATGTAATTTCATAATGCTTTCTATTGTATTTTATTTTTAAGATATTATATTGCTTGATATGGGTTTTAATTAACGAAATAGTTACTAGAATCACCCTGTATATCTAGGTATTAAAAGTCAACTTTTTTTATATAACAATTGACTCAAATGAATATTTGTACCCTAATTTTTTTTTATAGAGGATAAAGGGAGGCATAAAAATTATACAGTTTCATAGAAAAAAAATAAAGTTGACTTTGAAAACATCGAAACACCACCAATTTCGTATAGACGTACAGGGTGTTCGGCCAACCCCGGGAAAAATTTACATAAGCGATTCTAGAGACAAAAATAAGACGAAAATCAAGAATGCCAATTAGTTGATGGAGGCTTTGTTAAAAAGTTATTAACGTTTAAAGTTCCGCTCGTTCTGAATTTTTTTCTCGAAAATGCGCAGGATTTTTGGGGTATGTCTATTCACCAAAAATGATTGTAATTGACCCCCGTAACCAAAAATAATTTTTCCAGAACGATTTGAAATTTTTGAATTTAATTGTTAATAACTTTTTAACGAAGCCTCATCAACAAATTGATATCCTTAATTTTTGTCTTATTTTGGCCTCTAGAATCCCCCATTAAAATTTTTCCCGAACACCCCGTATGTACGTATATGTATACTTATACTTTCAACGAATTTTTGAAGATTTTTTGCCAGTTGTATTTCTAATTAATGGAACTAATATTCTTTGTCCTTTCCATGACAAAATAAATATTGTTAACTTATTCTTCATAAGTAAATTTCCTTTTAATGTTTATATCACGTTAATTGCTACGCCAATGTTTAAAAATTTACAACTATTATGGTTCTTCCATTGTAAATGATTTTACAATACACCTTAAGTTTAAAGTCGTGGTCACCAGTGACCATCATGGCAGTCAACAAGCCAATACAGATAATTCAACTAATTCTGTATTTCACTCGTGTTAATATTAACATGGTATCAATATTTCATCGATAGTGTTTAAAAATCGAGTATAATTTCGTACGTATTAATGTCAAAAATTTGAATTCAGAAATTAACAAAAATGAATTTACCTAATTACCGATACGAGTGTTGAAAAAATACACAATAGGGTTGGGCGAGTATCGTTACCACTAATAACTAAAATGATAAAAAAAAAAATCAATTTACCAGCGCGGAACGAAGTTAAACGTCGCGACCGATATTCGAACCACTTTTTGGGACAGTGTACCTTCGAAACGAGATTCCTCTTTCGATGAATTTTGTACTAACCTGTTTAACGACAGTCCCTTTCACTTTTTAGATTCGAACATTTCGATACACTAGAAACTTTGTATTTGCTGGTCCAGACACTTCTAACAACGAAAACAGCGTTAGCGTTTCACCACCTAAAAGTTTGTCGCGGCACGCACCTTTCGCACGTGCGAGTCTCCCGGATATCGACGATCGAATGCTCTCAGCACGAGACAGCGACGATCTCTCATCCTCGAAGACGCGAAAGAGGAAACTGAACACGGCCGCGATACATAGATACGGAATACTCAAGGCAGTTTTATTCGAGTCCCACTCCCGTCTGGTTTTATGAAGTGCAGCGATACGGTTCAACGGCGCTAATTGCTTTTCTGTGTTTCCTCGCGGATCGAATCCTTTTCTCATTGTTCGCTCGCGCGAGCCAAGGCGACTACCAGCGTCGCGCTACAAGCGTCGGAGAGGGAGGGGGCACAATAAAAGACAGGGCCTAGGGCCGTTTTCACCGCGTGGATTTCGATTTCATGAGGTCTTCCCTTGTTTCCTATACGATAGCTGAATTATTCGATGTTTATGCTAATTTATGCTTATGCTGATTTATTTCGATGTTATCGAGAGCAAGTCGAAAGCAGTTCATTTATATATATAAATTTATTTATAATTATGTATTAATGTATTATTTATAAATAATTAAAAAATAAAATTGTATTTATTTATAAATAAGTAACAGTAAATAATACAATTTTGTAAATACAAAATATACCGCATGTTGCGATTTGATTGAAAAAGAACTGACAAATTTTGTATGGATTTTTTAAAATTATTAATAAATGTAATTATTGTATATCCAAGAAGTTATGGTTTTATTTTAAAATATGTACTACTGCTTTTGAAATAGTGGCACACAATTATATTAAAATCAACGAGGGATCAATAAAATTAAAAAATTTTGACTCAAATGTGGCATGGTTACCCGTTATGCAATCGCTTTGAAATTTTGCATACATCATTCACTCACTAAATGTAATAGTTTAGGAGGGTAGCACGAATAAAACACGAAAACAAAATGTCCTCTATAGCTAAGGACCACCCTAGTATAGACAGAATTTAATAGTGTAGAGCGAAAGTTTTTTGACAAAATCTTGGAAACTATTAAATAATTGGAGCTGACCTTTTATAATTAAGATCTACAACCCCCCCCCCACCCTCCCCCCCAAGAAGTTGGTGTTTCAATTGGGACTTTTCGGAAGAACATCTTTCATAAATAGTAAACAATCTGTCAAATTCGATTAAACTTTGATGAGTAGTAAATGCCAGGTTATTAAATATACGCTGTGTTTGACTATCGAAAACAGGCGCAGAAAACGAAATTCATCGCGCCTTTCAATAAGGTGCTAAAAACTGTCAGATGCAGCAACCGTTAGAAAAATTGTAGCCGCACTTTAGCAGATTTGACGGTATGCACGGCTCAAATAATGGACGGCTTACGCAAATGGGGAAAGTAAGAGGAAAAACTTCGCCTTGAATTATTTCCGCTAATCATCAAGTAGAAAAGCGAGTAGAACAATACCAAATCACGGTTACATGATACACGCAATAGGTCACTAAAGAATTTTGTTATCGAATATTTATACACTATCTGGATTACTTGTATGTACGTTATAATAGCATTTTCCCACGAATTCGCTTGCGTGGATGTTGGATCAAATACAATTTACACCACATTTTGTTGGAAATGTTTCTCATTCTCATGTTGGCAAACATGCACATGTTGGAAATATTTCTTTTCCCCTCGTTGGCAAACGTGCACACCATCTTTTGTTTTAGTTTTTAGTATAGATAGCAGTTAAATAGCGTTCGGTACCATGTATGCAACTATTCGTGCAACATTAAACATAACCTAAAAAGTACATGCGCCGTTTTTTATTGTCTAATCCTATAACCTCCGCTACACATCTGTCCAATGCGCTGCGTCAATCATATGAATTGGGTTGATGCAAAATTAAACATCGTTTTTAGGAGTTTTTATTTACCGTTGAAAATTGGCGTCAGGATCATTGTTCTTTAATTCGAGGTTTATTTCTAAATCTTACGTAATGCGGTTTAGCAGACGATATTCTACAATAAATATTAGGTTGTCCGGAAAGTTCTTTTCGTTTTTTTAACAGGTATTAAGTATAAAATATTTTGGGTTCTGTGTACTATTCTTGAATAATATATGATCCGTTCTGTTCTACCACCTTTTGCCATCGCTCCGGAAGCCTCATAATACCGCTTTTCCAAAATTCCCTTGGCTTACTGTTAAAATATTCTTCGAGGCCGTTTTTTATTTCATTAACTGATGTGAATTTTCTATTGCGAAGAAAATTTTTGAGGGAAAGGAACAAATAATAGTCCGATGGTACAAGGTTTGGAGATTATGGAGGATGCGGTAGAACATCCCAATCAAGTTCTAAAAGTTTTGTTTGCACGGGTAAAGAAACGTGTGGCGTCGCGTTGTCGTGGTGGAACACGACGCCACGTCTAGTCACCAATTCTGGACGTTTTGCAATGATAGCCTCTTTCAGTTTTTCGAGTTGGGTGCAATATTTCTCACTGTTAATCGTTTGCCCTTGCGGAAGTAACTCGTAGTAAAGAACACCCTTCCAGTCCCACCAAATTGAAAACAATATTTTCTTCGGGTGAAGTCCAGCATTTGCTACCGTTAAAGAACTCTTATTTCGACTCGACCAAGATCGTTTGCGTGCAGTGTTGTCGTAAAGGATCAAGGTTTCATCCCCAGTAATCAAACTTTTCAAAAACGGCTCTCTTTTGTCACGTTGGATGAGTAAATCGCATGTTGAGATTCGGTTCAGAAGATTGCTTTCCGTCAGTTGATGAGGGACCCACACTTCGTAGCGTTTAACGTATCCAAGCTTTGTCAAATGTTCATGAACCGTTGTTCGCGAGATGTTTGAAGCATTTGCTATCTCACGAACACTAGATCTTGGGTTTTCATCGAGGTAGGCCTTGATAAGGTCAGTATCAGTGGTGGATGGACGGCAGCTGCGATCTTTATCTTTAAGGTTAAAATTTCCGGCTCTAAACCTTCTAAACCAATTACGGACTGTTTGAACAGTTATAGACTGGTCCCCATAAATGGCACAAATCTTCTTTGTAGTATTTTCAAACGTACTGCCTTTTTAAAAGCAGTAAAACATCACATGACGCAAATGCATCTTTTGGTTTTCCATCTTTCACAAGGCGAAAAACACTCGACAAACTTTCTACTGACGTCGATAACTGTTCTCTTGTACTGCCAGAGGATGACTAATAACCATACAGTTGACGGTAAAGTGCTCTGGTTGTTTGTTTACTTAACACGTTGAGCGCCATGTCAGCCATCGGTGGCTGACACTAGACTTTCCGTTTAGGCAGCGTCACCCATCGGTGGCTGACAGCGTGTAACATGAGAACTATAAAATTTACGCTATTTTACGGAATTACAGAAAATTTATTTAAAATTTACTTAATTTGGTATCATTACAGGATTAATGGGATTCATTGTAACATGGCAAACATAAAAATGGTTCTCCTTCACAAGTATTACAAAATGTTACAACACGCTTGGTCTTTCTCCTTGCCATCTCTCTACCATCTTTTCTTACATTTTTGTCATAACATAATTTACAGTATTTTCGAACTTCATAGACTTTTCCCGATTTTCTTTGGAGTTTGTGTTCTTTTTTGGATCTTCTTGCAATTCTGCTCGGTGGAATGTTTTCTTTGTCACAACTTGTAAGATGGACTGCTAATTTTTTCCGAAATTGCGTGGCCTGAACAGGATTGTCTTAGAAATACGCGTGGCGCTCAACGTGTTAAGCACAGCGAGACAAGGCCTTAAGCGACGAACGCGAAAAGAACTTTCCGGGCAACCTAATACATCTCTTCTTCAAGAGTACAAATAAAAAATCCTTGCACACTCGTTCATATCGGTGTTTGGTCCGCGGGAGCTTTTCGCTCCGACCTCCGGAATGCCATGCGGGGATGTGGTCATTAGACCTCTCAGTCCGAATGACCACATCTCCACACGCCATCCCAGCGGCTTCCCCTATCCGCCACCTGGGGACGCGCCACGTAGGGGTTCACCTCCCCTCCCGCATGGATAACCAAACGGGTGCGTGGACAAAAATGCATTATCTTTTTTTTTTAACGTGGGCAAACCCTTATGGACATCCTAGGGCGCCTCGGGAGGAGTCTCAGGGTCCGCCACGGATGCCAGATCACCCAATGTTCACGGGCACAGGGTTGTTTTTGGTGCTTGGGCCCCTAACAGCCTCCTGAAACGACCACAATCTATTGGTCACCGACGTGGGAGTCGGAGGAGAAAGCAAGGTCGCCCCGCCTTCGTCCGTCAAAAAAGGATGGCGGAGGGGAAGGAAAAGACGTGGACCTAGGACTGGGGGATGGGGCCTGGGGGCGAAGGAGTTCTCGCATTTGACAAAGTTCTTCTGCGAGATAACGTTCTCGAGGGCTAACGCTCTCCATGCATCATCGCTGGCCACCATTTTTCCAACAATGATGGGGCCAGGCAACATTGGTGGGAGGTCCTCCCTAACTTCAAAGCTCCAGGACATGGCGCTCATAATATGAGGTTGATGCATAATTATCCGGCGTTTATATCGGCTCGTTTTTCATCAGTGAAAAGTAGCGTTTTGTTTATTATTTTTGTATGAAAATAATCTTCTGTATTGTTTTAGAAAAATGCGTGTCGAAAACCATATTCATATTCGCCATATTATGCTTTACCACTTCGAGAAAGGATGGAAAGCAGCACAGTCGTTTCGCGATCTCAACGAACTTTTTGGCGAAGGAACAATCAGCGAAAGTCAGTGTAGGGAGTGGTTTGTCCGTTTCAAATCAGGTGATACTACCGACCGAAGCACCTACGGACTATCACGTCAACCGCACTTTGAAACACTGGCAAATGAATACGATTTACGACGATTTGGATGACTTGGTGGCCGATGTCAAAGCGTGGATCGTCTCTAAGAATCGTGTCTTCTTCGCTCGTGGAATCGACCGTCTGCCAAGCAAATGGGAAGCAGTAATTGAAGTAGACGGTGACTACGCTCCCGAATAATCGTTTAAACAAGTTTTTGTCAAATATTGTTATTAATTTTGTTAAATAAAATTTGTTGAGAAAACGCCGGATAATTATGCATCAACCCTATATATATCCACGCAGGGTAAGCTTCCAACAGCCGGTGTACAGAGAGTCCTGAACATTATCATCATCACAGTGGTGAAGCACACACCGTCGCCTTCTTCCCGATTTGACACAGGTACTTCATCAAACAACCATGCCCGGTGAATACCTTGCTGTACGGAGGAATGATAAGCGAGATAACAGTAGCTATGAAAAGAAAAGGACAGGCAAGTAAGGCAATTTCAGCAGGCCCTGCGTTGGACGCTGGGATGTTGGATGGCTGGTTGAAAAGCGTATACAGAGTGTTCGGCTACCTCTGGGAAAAATTTTAATGGAAGATTCTAGAGGTCGAAATAAGACGAAAATCAAGGATACTAATTTGTTAATTGAGGCTTCGTTAAAAAGTTATAGAAACATTTCCGGCCAAACAGTATATTTTCGGTAAAGAATTTTTTTCTCTAAAGTACGTAGGATTTCGGGGGTATGTGTATTCACCAAAAATGATTATAACTGACCCCCGCAACCGAAAATAATTTTTCCAGAAAGATTTGAAATATTTGAATTTTCGTCGAAAAAGTCTACCTATTCGAATTTTTTTCTCGAAAGTGCGTTGGGTTTCAGGGGTATGTCTATTAACCAAAAATGATTGTAACTGACCCTCGCAACCGAAAATAATTTTTCCGTGAATGATTTGAAATTATGTAATTTAATTTTTTAATAACTTTTTAACGAAGCCTCAATCAACAAATTGATATTCTTGATTTTCGTCTTATTTTGGCCTCTAGAATCTCCCATTAAAATTTTTCCCAGAGGTGGCCGAACACCCTGTACATTACACATTCTCTCCAGTATAAATGATCTACACACATATAATCGCTAATACCCCAAAAGGGGGCATGCAATATAAAAGAAAAAAAAAGGCTATTAAAATATCTATGATAGAAATAGATCAGCAGAAAAGGATTTATCATTGAACGTTCAATGACAACATCTGCCCTCAACGAACGCACGAGAAGGAAATGCATTTGCATATTTAAATACTGTGCTAATTTTGATTTCACAGCTACACGGTCTAATAACTCGTAAAAGTTGGATTTTTTGTCTCTGGTTACATTCAGTATGCAAACGACAATGTAGGTAGTATTAAGTATGTATACAAAAATGTGACTGACATTGAATTATAATTATTTCGACGTGCGTAGAAAAATTATTAACGTAAATGATCACAAGTCGTTCGTATCGAGGTTATCATACCACAGTAATTACAGTCATAATTACAAATTCAAACGATAACTGTAACACGATGATTATTAATCGATATTAAACTTTAACACTTCTTGGGCAACAGTATTGACAATATTAATTATAGTTTACTTAAGTACAATTAATTAAATTCAATAATTTAAGTTAATTTCAATTAACTGATTCTTATTGATTTCAATTTCAATTAATTCAATAATCCTTATGTCAAATTATTGATTATTTTATTTGAGTAAAGTAATTGAAATAAAAAGAAATATTTGAAAATAATTATTTGTGTAACAAAAATAATAAAATATGAACTAAACTAATTATTTCAAATAATTCTTATTTCAAATAAAATATGTCCAGACCCAGTTGTAATTACGTATAAACTACTCAAAATTATGAAAAGTAGATAACGCTATATTAGCATCCATAAGTAGAAATATCGAGTGATGGCCACGCCAGCCAAGTCGTATTCATTCCCACACGGTAATTATTTGAAATTTGGGGAGACACCATATGGATTTCGATGATTTTCGAATACGTTATAAAACTCAACATGCTAAATAAATGTACATGATAAACAAATTTTTCTCATATATACAGGGTGTTCGGCCACTGATATCGAGGTGAAGTCCCAGATGAGGTATCTGGGGCTGATCCTCGATAGCCACTGGCGCTTTGAGGAGAATTTCCGCTGCCTGGTCCTCAATGGTTCAGTCGGTGGCCCTATACGGTGCTCCCATCTGGGCAGACGACTTGGCGCCCTACCGGCGCAGCATAACGATGCTGTGTCAGGTGCAGAGGTGGATGGCACTGAGGGTCGTCCGCAGGTACCGGACCGTGTTGCATGAGGCACTGACGGTTCTTGCGGGGATGCCGACCATGGACCTCCTCGCACGGTCGCATGCGATGATGTATCGTCACTGCGTCGACCGTCGCGTGGGGGTGGGGGCGGTCCCGGGAATGCAGGAACCTGCTTGGGGCGATTTGAAGCGCCAGATCCGGCAGTTCGTGGCGCTCGCGTGGCAGGAGCGGTTAGCTCTGCCAACCGCGGGGCACCGGACAGTCGAGGCTGTTCGGCCACACCTGAGTGAGTGGTTGGACAGAGGCCATGGAAGCCTCAGTTACCGGCTGGCACAGGTGTTTTGCGGGCATGACAGCTTTGGGAGATACCTGTACCGGATAGGGAAGGAACCGACGGCGCGTTGCTGCCATTATGACGCTGAGCAGGATACGGCTGAACATACCCTCGAGGTATGCCCTGCGTGTTTATAACATTTACAATAAACAAATTAAAGAAAATAACATATATTTTCTTCCGAATTTTTGGACAGGTAGTTCTTCAATTAAAAAATATTTTGTAAAATTCTTTATTGTTAAATAACTTAAAAATTAATGCATATCTCGGGTTAAAAATTTAGGAAAGTTATATACATATCTAGAAGTAATACCTAGCCAAAAATCAAACTAATCCGTTCGGGGGCACTTTTCACACGCATATCCCGCCAGACCCTTTCGAATCTCGACTGTCCATCTAAAGTTCTAAACTAACCATCTAAAGAATCTAAAGTTTGTCTTCATTATTCCAGAGTAAAATTTGCACAAATCTAAGAAGAATGTAAAGAGTATATGAATTCTGGTTAGAAAACAAAACATTTGATAATTGGGTACTGGTTTAGACGAGTGCAAAATAACTGATGAAAATTGGGCTCTATATATAATGTTGTTTGCACATTCAAATAAATGATTTTCTATCATTTCAAGCATAATAAAAAATGTCTGTACGTGATTTTTGGGACATTTTTCAAGATTTATTCACTTACACATATGGTAAAGTTACAATACAATGTTAATTAATAATCATTTTTTACGATATAGAATTCTAGACGAAGATTTTTCTGCTATTTACTGATCTATGTTTAAAAAACAGATTGTTGATTTTCATGATACTTGTTTTTTATACATATATGTAATTAACGCAAAGTATTAAATAATATTTAAATCCCTCGGAAAAAAATATCAATATACATTCTCCATCTGTTTTAACATATGTATATTAATTCAATGTTGTACCTTAGAAATCAACATTTTTCGAACACACATACATACACCTACATTTTTGTTAATTAAATTGTCATTCAGACATAGCATTAATAACTTGTCTGGTCGAAAGTATGAAATTATATTAAACAAATTTTTGGTAGTTTAAGGTCATCGAAAATACAAGATCCTTAAAACTTTTTGAGATCTTCACTATATCTTCACTATATCTTCACTATATCTTTCCTTTACATATGTATATTCTCATAAAACGGTATAGTATGTTGTTTCTATCATTTTTATCTTCGAATATAATATACGGTAAGATCTTTGTATACCGGCCTTAACAGTAGAATAAAATTACATACTACTATTCGACGCTAAATCATACTGTACATTGCACAAGTGGCACGTACGCTCGTTTAAAATAAGAAATAATCTGTGACCTGTTACAATTCATGGCGTTTCGAATCAAATCTACAGAATTGAATTTAACGTAGACTTCAAAGTTTGAATTGTCAGCAATGATCAAATTTCTGAGATTTACAACCTGATTGACAATAATATCATTATACCGTGTAATCAAGTTATAATGTTCGATCGCTTCTTTGAGGAATAATATCATATAGTTTATCTATATAATCACAATTGTACACATGGATAGTAATTGAATTTGAGATAGTTGATTAAAGGTACCTTTCATCTATAATATCTTCTCTATTCTAAAAAGTCACATACAATTCTCAGTTGTCATCGGCGTCGTCGTCGTCATCGGATATATATTTTTTTGTAACTCTCTTCCTTCGACCTCCTCTACCTTCACCCTTCCTTCCTTTTAATTTAATTTTCATTCTTACACTAGAATCAGCGTCCGATCCTTCTTCTCCTTCCCCTTGAAAAGTCACAAGTACATAAGTACATTATTTATACACTTTAATTACTTTTTATGGTAAATTATAATAATAAAGTGTACCTTTATCATCCATTTCTGAATTATTTCCCTCCTCCTCGATACGTTGCCGCGCATTTGTAAAAACGGATTGCAAAACGATCGAATCCTCGTGTATCAAAGAAGCTTCCTCGTTATAAATTTGAGCATTTTTGCAAAGCTGCATAAAATCTTTTTCGAGGTCATCGAAATCGGCATACTGCAAAAAAAAAAAATCAATTTGTATAAATACATCTGTAATTATTTAATAAAGACGATGACGCATAGAAATTATATATTTACCTTTCCTTCTTCAATTTTTTGAAGTAATTTATTAATGGTTAGTGGTTTCTTAATAATTTCATAATAATCCGGCAATTCTCGTCTAGATGGTAATTTCATAAATGGTTCGCTAAGTAATCTACCATCCGAGCTATCGGTGTAATTAACAACTACCATAAGCAACTTCTTCATGGCTCGTTTTATTTTTGGATCAATCGAGGATCCACCGCCTCTCCGTTTCTTTGGCATAGGTTCGTCGTCTTCTTCACCCTTCTTCTTTCGTTTTCGTGTTTTCTTCTTTTTCTTGTCGTCTTCTTCTTCCTCTTCATATTCAGCACCGTCGTCGTCGATTGCCTTCAGCCATTCCTTTTCAGTTAAGCTATCAGTGTAATCAACTTCTTTTCGTTGTCTCGAACCTCGTCCGAGGAATCTGTCTTCGTCTTCTTCGTAGGTCCACCTTTCAACTTCATCGTCATCTTTCACCAACCAATCGGGCAGCTCAGCTTCTTCTAATAATCGAGACTTTCTATTTGGACCTAATTTTGCTTCTTCTCTTCTTCTTTCCAAGTCTAACTTTTGGAATATTTCAAATTCACCCTCGGTTCGAGCAATCATCTGATTGACTGTCTCATCATCCGGTACTTCGTTTTCTTCTTCATCTTCAGCATCATCTTGATGCAAGATGCTCTGCAAGAATTGTTGTCGCTCAGAACCGGTGGACTTTTGATCAAACATTCCTGCTTGTATAACTTTTTCATCCATGTTTAGTTTGTACCTAGCCGCGGCCAATATTCTTTCTTCGACCGAATTCACCGTCATCAATCTGAGTACACGTACTTCGTTCTTTTGCCCAATTCTGTGTGCTCTGTCTTGTGCTTGTAAGTCTTGGTGTGGATTCCAGTCGGAGTCAAAGATAATCACAGTATCCGCAGCCTGCAAATTTAATCCGAGACCACCAGCACGCGTTGATAACAAAAACAAGAAATATTCAGAACCGGGGTCGTTGAACTTCTTCAACAAATCTCCCCTGTCTTCAGCTTTTGTCGTACCATCTAATCGCAAATACATGAATCCTCTCCAGCTTAGATAGTCCTCCATGATGGTCATCAACTGTGTCATTTGACAGAATAACAACACTCTGTGGTTGGTTGCTTTCAACTTTGGAAGAATACGGTCCAATAACTCGAATTTCCCAGACGCACGATACAAATCAGGCCCTGTAATTACGCCAGACCCCTGCGTACCAACATGTTCGCAATACTTTTCTTCGATAGCTTGGAACATGAATGGATGATTGCATAACTTTCTCAACTGCACTATTGTATTCATCAAGGCTTTAGCACCCCCTTTGCCTTGCTTTCCCTTCTCGGAACCGTCAGTTAACAGCACTCCCTTACTCTGCATGTGTTTGTAAAGAACTTTCTGTAATCCAGACATGTCGCACTTGATAATGTATTCTACTTTATCAGGTAACTGAGATTCAACTTCTTTCTTCAAACGTCTTAATAAGAAAGGACGTAGCACTTTATGCAATCGACGAATGATGAGAATGGTTTCTTCTTCGTTCAATTCTACTTTTTCACCGGTAGTTGCGAATGGAGCATTGAACCACTGTTCGAAAGTGCTGCAAGATTTGAAAATCGAGGGTAGTAAGAAATTCAGTAATGCCCACAGCTCGGGTAATTTGTTTTGTAATGGTGTTCCAGTAAGTAAAAGTCGGTGAGGAGCTAAGTAATGTGTATTCAGCACTTGTGTCAATTTACAATGATGGTTCTTCATTCTGTGACCTTCGTCGATGATCATGTACTTCCACTGCAATTTGGCTAAAACGCCCTTATCTTTAATGACATATTCATACGTAGTAAGCAAAACGTTAAATTTCGTGGCTCTCATTTGAGACTGAATAGCTCTTCTACCCGCCGGTGAGCCTTTATATGATACTACCACAACACTAGGAGCCCATTTCTCAAATTCCAAAACCCAATTTGATAATGTACTGAAAACGATTAAATAAACGATTAAAATAAATTTAACAATTGATTCAAAGATGTTTCTTTCAAAATAATACATACGACAACGGCACGATTATAAGGAATGGTCCGTTTACTTTCTTCTTCTCCATTAGATAAGTCACCAAAGCTATAGTTTGAATAGTTTTACCAAGACCCATTTCATCGGCAAGTATACCATTAAGATTATTATTAAATAATGAAACTAACCACTCCAACCCCTGAAATCATTATATTCCGTTAAACAAAGAAACGAGGCTAGTTAAGCTAGCAGTTTATGTTATTTTTTCGATACAAAACCTTTATTTGATATTCTTTCAATTTTCCATTGACCATGATCGATGCTTGCTCTGTTACCACTTCATGAACAGTATGCGCAATACTGTAATATGTCTGTTCTTCGGTTTTATATTCATCATCCTCTACTTTTGCTTTGTGTAACGTTTTCTTCGCTTTATCTTCTTCGGAATCACCCGGCGCTTTTGCTTTGTGATCACATTTGTCATCGCCGTCATTGTCGTCATCGTCATCGTCATCATCATCTTCGCTTTCTGACTCAATCGGTTCCCAACCTGGATGAGATTCTAAAAATGCTGAAAGTTGGCTCATCAATGGAGCTTCTTCGCCAGTTAATGTGCGCCCGGTCGCAATTTCGATTACTCCTATACGAGTGTCTTCGTTGGAGTTTCCATCTTCGCCTCCTTCGCCATCTTGCATCTTCTTCTTTTTCTATTTTTAACCATACATATCAAACATAGTACATAAAATCAAGTGTACAAAATATTCAATTATAAATCGAATAGACGCAGAAAAAACTTATCGTATTATACATACTTTCTTGCGTTTTTGTTCTTCCACTTGTTTCCTCTTCTGTTCAATTTTATGTTGTTTTACCATTTCAGTTAGATTGCTAATGTATTCGTCAGTTTGAGATAACAGAAAAGCTAATCGCTTGTCTTTCTTTTGATCGATCAACTTTCTATATCCTTCTTCATCTTCTGCCATAAGACGCCTCATACGTTCCTTTTCAATTCGTTCTTGTTCTTTCTTTTGTTCTCGTTCCGCGTTGGCGTGATAATTCAGAACTGCTTTGTTAAGCCTGGCTAATTTGGCTACGTTATTTCGATGGAACTCTTTGAAATCTTTACCATGTTGAAGTACCGAATTAAGAAATTCCTTTAAAATAAAGAATAAAAAGAAACAAAACATACGGTTAGTGTATGCATGTAGAATTTTAATAAAATAATTATAAATGTAGTTACTTGATGTTTCTGCCTGCGTTTTCGTTCTGCTTCTAATTTTTGTTGTTTCTCAAGTTTCTCAGTAGCCCTAGCTTCTCGAAGACCTTGTTTCTTTGTACGCTTGTAGGCTTTTACATTTACAGCAGTTTCTAATGTAGTGTCCTTGCGCGTGCATGCTAAAATCTAAAAAATAATCATAATTCCAACTGAACTAAAAGTTAACTGTAAATGTAGTAATATGGTTTTCCTTTAATAATCACCTCTGAACGTAATTGTCTTTGAAAATTTAATACCCTAAGCATCCGCAGTTCGATTTGTGCTTGAACACGAAGATCTTCTGGCATATTGGTTGGTAAATTACTCAACTGTTCCATACGTAATGATATACGTGCTGCCACTCTGTCGTTACATAGTTTTATTTAATTACTCAGGATTATTAGACATTTTATAATTAATCTAGTAAAACCATATAACAAGTAGGATGTGGCATAATCTTTTAAAGCATTTAAAAGAAAGTTTAAGAATTAATTTTTTTTTTCTTCGCATGCTTTATTATGTTTTATTAGGTGTACAAATGAATAATCCAATTTTTTCAGCCACATTCAATGTTTATTTTAAAAGAACGTAAATTGAATTGTTCAATCCAAGTATTCGCCGTTACTTTCTATAACTTCAAATCATCTTTCAAGCAGCTGATGAATTCCATCTCGGAAAAATTTTACGTTGTTGGAATTCGTGAAGAATGCAGTGTCGGATATGCGCCTTATCTGTTGCCATTTTCGACTCTACTGAACCGAATACTTTTGAAGATTATCTTGGGCCTTTTGTTAAACTATCTTTTGTTTTAACTAGCTATATGTCAAGACTATATAACCGCAAAAGAGCGGGAAAATCTATTGACTTTAAACTTGATTTTCTAGCTGCTTAAGATAATTTGGATTATTCATTTGTACACCTAATAGTTCTCTAATTAAAATGCAATCTCTATAGATCAGGCTACAACGATAAATTCAGTAAGAAGCACCTGTTTTCCCGTTCTTGTAATATCAATAGAGGGTCTAAACCGGCTGGTTTCGCCACACTCGTTACTCTGTTAGTTTTGGCACCCGGTTGTGGAGGTTGTTGTTGTTGTGGGGTTTGACAACCTTGTCTTGGAGGAACTGCAGAACCAATTACGTTTGGTCCAGGAATTTGTGGTCCCGCGGCGGTAGTGGTTCCTTGAGATGGATCTATGGATGGCCGTTGTCCCATACCTGGGGGAGGAGGTGCTCCACCTATTTCCATTAATTTTACATCAAATCCTTAACACGTATCATCCTATTCTACTTTTCTATTTTCACAATACAATTTTATTGATGTTTAAATATATATTTTTGGAAATGTAATGAAATCGTACTTAATAAAAATAAAAAAAAAAATTGTAATATTTAGCTTACTTTGAAGAGCAAGCGTCAGTTGTTGCGTCAATGGTTGATTCCTTGCTAATAATCGATATGCCATTATCTGTACACTGTAAACGATTATACGTGTAAATGTATATACCCTAATGTAATAATAAATTAATCAACATATTATGTATACAAATTAATTTTTTACCTTTCTTTAGTAACTTTAATGTATACTTATGAATAGTCAAATTAGATTTTTAGTATCAAAATAAGCTTCATTAGCATTTACATATTTTTATCAATGCTCGTGCAGTTGCCTAATCTCCGTTCTCCGAAAAAGATAGTGGTTTTGCGTTAACAATGCTTTTCATGATATTTTCGAATGTTCGAAAGTGTGAATCGACTATAGTAGCCGAAACAAATAATAATCCTAACAGGCAAAGGTTTAGGAGTAAGCCACATAAGGAAGAACTTCTTACTCCAATAAAAAGTAATGTTCTTTGAAAGTTTCGCTCAATTTTAACTCGTCTCCAATTTTTGTTGGGGTTCCAAGATGTTTCTTGTTCAAAAGATTGAAAGGGTATAGCCGAATAAGGGGGTCAAATGTGCCCTTGAACGAAATGTGACATACGATAGATCCATCGATAGAGCATCAAGAAAAAACGTTCTGTGCCAAATTTTAACCCTCTATCTTGTTTGGAAGGGTAGTTATTGAGAAAATTCGGATTAACGAATTTCTGCCTATTTCCCCTATTTAATCGAGTAGAAAAATTATGAAAAAAATCTGGTGCATTGCGACTATTGAGATACGTGTTTGAGAATTTTTTCCGATTTTTCAAATTCAAATCCTAGGTGTGAAAAATTAAAAACGCAAAAAAACGCAGAAAAATACCAATTTCGTATTGAAGCTTTCGAGACACTAGATTTATATAATTACTGTAAATGCATATTGTCATTGGTTATGTCCCTGAATTTTTTCAGATTTTTTGGCAGGGTGCGCCGTAGTAGCAAAAATGAAAAACCGATTTTTTCGGCGTTTTTCGCGTGAAAAAGCAACTTATACTTTGAATTTTTGTATTCCCTTTAATAGATAACTATATTCTGTGGTTTTAAATATTTCCATGTTGAGTAAAACAGTGTATACAAGAAGAAAAGCAAAAATAAGTCAAGAAAAAAAACGTGCTATGCGCGTTGTATTCAGAAGTATCAGCATTATTTCCAAGAGCTGCGATGGTGCAGTGAGTAAGATGCTTGACTGCGAGACTGCTGCAAACTTTTTGACGCGCGTTCGCGCCCTGCTACGGTACATTTTTTTTTATTATATTAATTTTTTTTTTTTCAATTTCTAACTAAACGACAATGAAAAACTATTAGTTTATTAATATTTAAAAAATATTTTTACCTAAAATATACGCAAAAACAATTATGGAGCAGTTTCTATTCCATCATTTCTCTAGTCGTATATTTGCTTAAATACCCTACTGTTTCATTTTTTCTACGTTAAATGAATATACGTACTTAGTTTTAAAATCGCATACCTTTAATAACTTTGAATAGTGGAAGAAGATTTCTTCAATAAAAAGAACATTAGCAGTCTTTGCATATAGTTACGGATATCATGATGACAAGATTTATGATGTGCAAGGTTTATGAATGTTTACGTCTATTGGCAGTCTAAATTACTTATTTTAGACGAGAAATTGTTCTCTTATTATCCATTTCCGTTACACATGTCCACATTTCAACAAAGGCGAATATATGTACCGTCAAAAATAAGTGCTAGCTGGTCTGTTATATTATACAACTGTTTAGCAATAAGGGACGTTTCATTTTCTATTAAATGTTGACGAGAAAAAGCCGCGACTCCGAAATGATATGGTAAAATATCTTTTTCAAACGAGTTCCTAACTGCTTTACAAAAATCGGATACCTGTTGTTCGCGCTCTAACCCAAAAATTGAAGCTATCATACTATTCGAATTTCCAGTACGCAATTTAAATAAAAAGACAACAATAGCCTGTGTCACAGCTCGTTTTTCCGTATTTCTCATGGACTTCATCATTTCTCTAAGTTGAATTAGATTTTCCCAAGTTAATCCCGTGAATATTTTAAGACGTTCTTCTGATAATATAAAATCACCTATTTTATCTTTAATACTAGAATCACTACTAACTGCAAGGTATTCGAGTAAGAGAAATAAGTAATTTAGACTGCCAATAGACGTAAACATTCATAAACCTTGCACATCATAAATCTTGTCATCATAAATCTTGTCATCATGATATCCGTAACTATATGCAAAGACTGCTAATGTTCTTTTTATTGAAGAAATCTTCTTCCACTATTCAAAGTTATTAAAGGTATGCGATTTTAAAACTAAGTACGTATATTCATTTAACGTAGAAAAAATGAAACAGTAGGGTATTTAAGCAAATATACGACTAGAGAAATGATGGAATAGAAACTGCTCCATAATTGTTTTTGCGTATATTTTAGGTAAAAATATTTTTTAAATATTAATAAACTAATAGTTTTTCATTGTCGTTTAGTTAGAAATTGAAAATAAAAAATTAATATAATAAAAAAAAATGTACCGTAGCAGGGCGCGAACGCGCGTCAAAAAGTTTGCAGCAGTTTCGCAGCCAAGCATCTTACTCACTGCACCATCGCAGCTCTTGGAAATAATGCTGATACTTCTGAATACAACGCGCATAGCACGTTTTTTTTCTTGACTTATTTTTGCTTTTCTTCTTGTATACACTGTTTTACTCAACATGGAAATGTTTAAAACCACAGAATATAGTTATCTATTAAAGGGAATACAAAAATTCAAAGTATAAGTTGCTTTTTCACGCGAAAAACGCCGAAAAAATCGGTTTTTCATTTTTGCTACTACGGCGCACCCTGCCAAAAAATCTGAAAAAATTCAGGGACATAACCAATGACAATATGCATTTACAGTAATTATATAAATCTAGTGTCTCGAAAGCTTCAATACGAAATCGGTATTTTTCTGCGTTTTTTTGCGTTTTTAATTTTTCACACCTAGGATTTGAAATCGAAAAATCGGAAAAAATTCTCAAACACGTATCTCAATAGTCGCAATGCACCAGATTTTTTTCATAATTTTTCTACTCGATTAAATAGGGGAAATAGGCAGAAATTCGTTAATCCGAATTTTCTCAATAACTACCCTTCCAAACAAGATAGAGGGTTAAAATTTGGCACAGAACGTTTTTTCTTGATGCTCTATCGATGGATCTATCGTATGTCACATTTCGTTCAAGGGCACATTTAACCCCCTTATTCGGCTATACCCTTTCCTTCACAAAACCTTTAATAATACTTTTAACTGTGCTATAAGATACGATGTCTTACTTTAAAATTGATTAAATCAATTCCTTTACCACGGAGACACTTTTTTTCAATTCCTTTTTTTCATACCCCTTCGCGAAGGGCCACGAATGACCATGAGGATTTTCTCACGTTACAAAAAAAAAATGAGTAGTGTATTATATACTAATACTATTATAAGTAACGTACCGTAATTGTTGTAATTGTTGAGAACTGAAAGCTTGTTTCTCTCCCATACTACCCTGACGAGCCCTTAAAGCGAGTAACTGAGAGTAGCGTGGATCTTCCTGGAGCCCTTTCTCTTCCATAGAATCAATGGCTTTCTGCAGAGCATTCAAGTTTTCTTGCCCAGCACCGGTTGGACCTCCAGGGCCAGCGGGACCAACTTGTCCAGGTCCAGTTTGACTCATCTGATTCACAGGTGTGCTGGGTCCCATTGGCGTTGAACTTGCAGAAATAATTTGTTGATTTTGAGAACCAGGTCCTATTTGACCAGAAGATGGTTGCCCACTTGGCCCATTAGGTCCCATTTGATTCGCTCCACCATGGCCCATTTGACTGTTTGGCCCAGTTGGTCCTATCTGATTGGCAGGTCCGCCAGGTCCCATTTGACTTCCAGGACCGCCAGGTATCATTTGCCCACCTGGACCATTGGGGATCATCTGTCCTCCAGGACCGCTGGGTCCCATTTGTCCACTAGGACCATTTCCTGGACCAATTTGTCCTCCGGGTATATTTCCTGGTCCCATTTGCCCACCAGGACCACTTCCCGGACCCATCTGACCGCCAGGCCCACTACCTGGTGCCATTGGATTTCCAGAATGATTTCCTGGTCCCATTTGCCCACCAGGACCACTTCCCGGTCCCATCTGAACACCGGGGCCGTTTCCAGGACCCATTTGTCCCCCTGGACCACCACTAGATCCCATTTGTCCTCCAGGACTATTTCCAGGACCCAAAGGACCTCCAGGCCCATTACTGGAAGGCATCTGTCCTCCGGGACCACTTCCTGGACCCATTTGTCCAAGGCCGGTCGGTCCCAATTGTCCTACAGGGCCACTTCCTGGTCCTAGTTGACCTGGTCCTACCTGACTACCGGGACCACCTGGTCCCAATCCCATTTGCGACGATGGGCCTCCCATATTCATTTGTCCAGGCCCATTTGGGCCCATCTGTGAAGGTCCATTATGTCCCATTTGCCCCGTTGGACCAACGGGTACCATGGGATTCGGACCCATCGGAGATTGATTACTAGACGACATCTGGTTTGGACCGCCAAGGCCCATTTGATTCGGACCACCTGGTGGAATGTTGTGTGTATTAGGACCACCTTGCGGCATCTGACTCGAACCTCCAGGTCCCATGTGACTCCCCGGTCCGCTGGCGCTCATGTGTCCCGATCCTGGTGGACCACTTGCATTCATGTGACTCGAAATGGGCGGACCACTGTTTAGATGACTTCCTGGTCCAGGTGGGCCACTGGTGTTTATGTGTGTTGAACCTGGAGGTCCGTTAGTGTTCATATGGCCAGATCCCGGAGGACCATTTGTATTTACGTGTCCCGATCCTGGTGATCCATTCGTATTCATGTGACCTGGACCAGGTGGCCCGCTCGAACTCATATGTCCTTGGCCCGGTTGACCGGTTGTACTAATATGACCCGATCCTGGAGGACCACTCATATGGCTAGGACCTCCAGGGCCCATTTGCGAGTTGGCTGGTCCGCCAGGACCCATTTGTGGTCCTGATACGGGTCCACTTCCAGGGCCCATTTGTGCAGGTCCTTGATTCATGTGAGGACCGCCCGGTGGTCCTCCGCTTCCTTGTCCCATGTGACTTGGTCCGATCGGCCCTGGGCCACCTGACCCCAGTTGACCAGGACCACCCTGACCCATTTGACCAGGCCCGCCGGTTCCCATTTGTCCTGGCCCGGTGGTGGTCATTTGATTTGGACCAGACTGCATCATGTGGGATGTTCCTTGGGGTCCGTTTGGTCCCATTTGGCCCGGTACCATTGGTCCTCCAGGACCTTGTGGGGAGCTCGAATTTTGGTTGTTCGATTGGACACTTTGATTCTGAAAATTATGTTAACCCTAAGAGTATTTATTACCAACAAAACACAAATTTAAACAAAAAAATTAAATAAAAGATTTTGATAATTTTCTCGTATCTGGCTTTACTTTCTGAGATATTAAAAAAAATCTTTCGGAACGCAATGAATAGCTTGTTTACAGACGACACATCACAGCGGTCACGTTTTTATTACCAATACAGTATTATTACAGTTTCCTAGTTCGTTTCTAACAATCGCAATGTGTATGTGCGAATTCTTAACTATTGCTAATACTAAAGATAAATTGTTAGATTTTCTGATCGAAAAGCGAGTAATTCGAGATAACATAATTTGTCCGCAATGTGGGAATTGTGCTAATCAAAGTAGAGAAATCCTCCATGATCCCACTGCCCTTGAACATGTTCTACGTCTTAACATCGAAAAAGACGCAGCGACCACGGTACGAGGTTTGCACAAATTTGTTTAAACATCCAAAATATTTTATTGCATTACTTCTTAATGACACACCCACCTCATCATGCTTTTCTTCAAACTGAATTGAGGCTGCCTTCGCAAAATATTGTAGATTGGTCACATTTCTGTCAGGAGATATATTTTGTAAACAATTTTTATTATTATATGTGTTGTTCGAAAATGCTCCTTAATTGGTAGTCATTTGGCAGCTTAGAAATTCACAATTTCTGAAATCTCTTGCAACGACGTATTATCTTTACCTTTTCGTCCCATTTTAGTGTTATTATAGTTTTCTCAGAGAAGTTTTTTTTTCTAAGTTCCGGGGAAACGAACTCAGGACCTTAAGAATCAAAGACAAGAATCTAGCTATATAGCCACGAAGGGCTCTTTTTTAGTACTACTATAGTTACTTATATTTGAACTGAGAACACTATCCATATTGACAACGTCTCCAGATATACTGATGATAGTTATGTTGATATTCCATGTTTTATCTTGTAATTATTACATATACAATATTATGAACAAGTATACATGGTGTTTGGCCACACCTGGGAAAAATTTTAATGAGAGATTCTAGAAGCCAAAATAAGACGTAAATCAAGAATATCAATTTGTTGATTGAGGCTTCGTTAAAAAGTTAATAAAAAAAATTAAATTACAAAATTTCAAATCATTTTGAAAAAATTATTTTTGGTTGGGGGAGGGGTCAATTACAATCATTTTTCGTAAATAGACATATCTCCGAAATCCTATGCATTTTCGAAAAAACAATTCGGGAAGGTGGACAAATTTTTCAAAAATTTTAAATCATTCCAAAGAAATTATTTTCGGTTGCAGGGGTCAATTACAATCATTTTTGGTGAATACGTATATCCCCAAATTCCTACATACTTTCGAGAAAAAAATTTCTTACCGAAAATATAATTTCTGGCCCGAATTGTTGCCCGAATTTTTATGCGCATCTTTAAAAAATCATAACCCCCGAATGGATTGGACGATTTTAATGTTTCAAAAGGCAAACAACGCGTATTTTAGTGGAGAATATGTAGAAATTCTAAGAATATTCGAAAACTTGTTCCTTAACCACGTAAAGTGAGAAAAACCCCATAAAAATGGTCCAATTTTCAAACGGCAATAACTCCTACAATAGTGCCTATATTTCAATGAAACTTTTTTCTGAACTAGAGCTCATGGGTACCAATAAAAGTATTAGACAAAATTTCCGTAGCGCGTCAAACAAAATTTTTAAAAACCAAAAACGAATTTTTAAGAAAAATCGACAAGGGCTTAAATTTTTTGGCGAAAAAAAAAAATTTCAAGTCGTTCTAAAAAAATAATTTGTGGTTCCGAGGGTCAATTACAATCATTTTTCGTGAATACACATACCTCCGAAATCCTTCGCACTTTCGGGAAAAGAATTCAGGAAGTTGACAAAATGGACGAAAATTAAAAAATTTCATATCGTTCTGGAAAAATTATTTTCGGTAGCGGGGTTCAATTACGATCATTTTTTATGAGTACGCATACCCCCGAATTCCTACGCACTTTCGAGAAAAAAAATTCCTTACCAAAAGTATATTATGTGGCCAGAAATGTTTCACCGAAATTTCATGCATATATTTAAAAAATCATAACTTCTGGACGGATCGATGGATTTTAAATATTCCAAAGTCAAACAATGCGTATTAATGGAATTCTAAAAATATAAAGTAACAATTTATTCTTGAATAAACAAAGTTTTATAAAGTTTGTGCTGAAATTTATTTCTACGCGAATACTTTTGTCATCCACTGTATTTTATTCGCATATAACAAAATAGTAAAATTGGAGAATTAGTAGTAGATGATCATTTCAGTGAAATATTTCAATTATTGCGAACATCTCAAAAACTAAGGTCGACTGCACTTTATACGTAAATAAATAAGTTTTTCAGAATGTTGATTCGTACAACATTAAAAAATTTTATCAATGTCTGAGATTAGATCCCATTAACAGATATTTACAACTCGTTCTGATAAGATTTTCAACTCGTTGATCTATTTGGAGCATTCTGGGCACGAAAGGTGGAAGTGTAATATTTTTTGTTGAATGGAAAAATATGTGGTGATTTTTTTTTTTAATCTGACAAGGAGAATTTACGATGTGAATTTAGTAACTTAAAGTGTAGTGCAGTCTGAACTAGACGGCGACGTTTGTAAACGAGAGGAATTAAAATTCGATCGCTCTTATCTCTTCTCGGAGCAAGGTCCCGTAACAACTGTAACTTTATGTAATATTAAAGAATTTGAAATTTTACGAATTGATTGAAAAAGACGAGTTGCGAGGGAAAATTATTTTTACAAATGATCGCTTAAATTGAACACTAGAACACAGTGATTTAAATTAATTTTTACCGAAGAAACTAAACTTGATCTCTTCGTATCTGAAGTAAAAACATTCGATTCGAATTAGTTTCGGTTGTAATGTTTGTAAATAGCGTTGACCCCGTTCGTTGATAATAGGATGTTATCGACTAGTATATACTTATTTAAACAGACATTTTTAAGCAAATACAAATATCGAAGTAACGAAAAAACTGGTACAATCTCTTGACCTTAACTCTGTCGAAATGTTTTACGGGATTCGGTATGGAAAAGTACGTAGAATAATAAAAAACCGGGAAATATAGAACAATTATATAGTTTGACAAAAAAGATATGTTTTATGTAAAAAAGATTTTGATTTTCCACGTCGTACGTAAAAGTATATTCCAAAATCTATTATTCGATATAGAATGTTTACAGATTGTTTATATTTTTTGAATAAATAAAAATATTGGGGCTTAATTTAAAACTTAAAATACGATTCATAAGGGTTAAGGCTGCGACTGCATCAGAATGAAAAAAGTTCAAGCCAGAGACCTGCGATCCTTGAAATAGGTTTCTGAACATTTCTATTAATACTGTTTCTTTTTCAAATTATTCTACAATTTTTTTTCATCCACTTATCGGTTCTTACAACTTAAGCTTGGTTCCACTTAAGAAGCACTATTAAAAAACTTTTCAGAAACTTTTAAAAACCCATAAATCACTGTCACATACTACGAATCTCCTGTATCGAGTACCATTTTGTGTAAATTGAGTAAGTTCAGGTTTATAACAGTCGACAATATTTATTAGTTCAAGAAACCATTACATCCATAGAAAATATTAGTTTTATGAGTCCTGGTATAAAAGGATTTACACGTAAAAATAATCTTTATCTACGTAATCCACGATAAAACAGAAAAAAAACCAATATAAAGAAAGATTCGATTTAATGCTCTTGATCCGTCATAATTTTCCAACGAAATTGCAGCAATAAGATAACAAAAACAGGTGAGAAACAAAGCTAATAAAATGAATTACATTTTCACTGTTCGAATTAGCTAAATTCCCGAACGTTTGTTCTTTTCTTTAACACCAAAATTAACTATGCATACACGAAAACAAAACTTGTTATTGAAACAGTATTGTTATTGAATTACAAATGACAATCGCTTGAATCACGGAATTTTGTTGTGACACGTTTGTACATAGCGTGGCACGTTCCGATAATGGTCAGTACAGTTGGGACTATGATTACACGTACAGTGACGCACTGTGAAAGATTATTTTGCCTGTATAGATAAACACGAGTACGATCATCTGTCATGCACGTGGTCCAGGTGTGACATAACTGCACACGCAGCCACGACGTGAAACAACGTATTCGGGAATGCTAACTTGAATAATCTTTCTTTTCCGCTTCATTCAATTTTGCAATAGCAGGAAGATGTGAATGATGCGTATCAAAATTATGCTATCAAACGGTACACTCATAACAATATTTATTTATAGTCTTCCTTTAGAAGACATCAAAACCTTAGTCTTTAGAGATTTCAATAGCACGTTTCTAATTTCTAAATAAATTAATACAGCAGGCATAGGGAACCGAAATAATTAAAATTAATTAGTATGTTTTTCAAGTATGCAAGTGCAATTCAAATGTGAATATACCTTAAAAATTCCCTCTATTGTAGTCTTTATTTCGAATACATCGAAAGCTGAATCCTGAATCTTTGGAGATTTAAATAGCACGTTTCTAATTTCTAAATAAATTAATACAGCAGGCATAGGGAATCGAAATGATTAAAATTAATTAGTATGTTATTCAAGTATGCAAGTGCAATTCAAATGTGAATATACCTTAAAAATTCCCTCTATTGGTTCATTAGTGTTACTTGTTACTGTTTATTGCGGCCTTATTTTCCAATTTGTCCGTCAATCTGTGCACTAAAACGTTAATTTGAATAAACTGATATTAAATTAAAACGTATGATAGCAGTTTATGGCGTTAATAGTTTTCTTCACCCCTGTTGGCGAGTTTCGCCAGCGAGATTGTAAGAATTGCGCAGCGATTGTTACATGTAATCAGTTAGTGATAATCACATGTCGTGTACATGAAAAGGAACTCGGGGAAATGCAAGGCTAATGTTCGTTTGTGTAAACGCAACTTCCTAGTGGGGGTTGACAGACGTAGCATAAGAACAGAGCTTTGGCGGACGATGCTGTTATTTCGAATCAAGCAAGTTGACACAATAGACTGACAATCGGTGACCTCCTCCAACATCATCCAACATGACCAACAAAGAAGAACTAAATTATTGCTACGATTTCGTTCTGAAGCTTACCGTGGAATCAGGAAAGGTATTTCAATTCAATTAAAAGTTCCTTTTACACATCTTTGAAATTTTTAGAAACAGTAAACGAATGTTTCTGCTCACAAGTAAATAGTATTCGCTAAATTTTAATTCAATTATCGCGAGCTGTGCAAATTGTAAACATAACAATATTTATCGACATTAGATAACTGTCTGAGCAATAACGGATGTCGTTAACTGTAAAACGCAGCTGTTTCCGTACAAAAAGTAAACAATTGCAAACAATTCTTCTGATATTCGTCACACTGTTGTTATCGGATTTCGTTATACAACTCGTTAGATAGTGGCCAGTTCCGTAAGCTGGTAGATTAAAACACAAATGTAGAATATTTACGTGCGAACCGGCTTTGCTAAAGTTTCTGTATTTTTCAGATAATTCGGGATGCTATTCAAGGATGTAAGAACATAGAGACCAAAGCTGGTGACTGGGATCTCGTGACGCAGTTTGACAAAAAATTGGAAGAGATTTTGATAAACGGTATAGCGAAGGAATTTCCAAAGCATAAGTACGTGTTTCTTTTTTTTTTTTTTATTTATTTTGTTATTTTCTTCTTTACCGATGTGGTGCACAGCATTGGTGAAATAACATAATATTCATGTTAACGGTAATCAATATTGATTATTTCGTACAATTTCATATTTGTGATAGTTCTTACAAGCAAGAGTACGATTAAATCAACAATATTTTAATGGGGCAAAATTTCATTTGAATAATAGAAATGTAAAACAATTTATTCGTGACATTTTTAATTTAACGAGTTATGAATAAACAGTTGTTCGTCTCTTATTTTATCTAAATACAAATTCAGCCAACCATCTCTGCCTTACTTAAGGGCGATGCCATTTTGAAAAACACTGTTCTACAAGTTTACTCGTCAACCCCTAAATTTGATCTACGATCTCGTTCAAAACACGATCATCGGATCGTTCGTGGAGACAGCCAACAAAAGACTCCAAATTGAAAATTATTTATAAACTTTCTAGATTCATTGGCGAAGAAACCGTTTCGTCCACAAACCATTTGCCGGAGCTGACGGACGAACCAACATGGATCATCGATCCGATAGATGGAACCACTAATTTCGTTCACTCTTTCCCTTTCACTTGTATATCGATTGCATTAACAGTAAAGAAAGAACTAGAAATTGGCATTGTTTATAATCCTGTACTGGAACAGTTGTTCACGGCCAGGAGAGGACGTGGTGCTTTCCTGAACGGAAAACCTATTAAGAGTTCTAAAGTGGACAGTAAGTAAAAAAAAATATAATATGATGTGAAAAATAACTAAATAAATATAACTGTAAACATGTTCGTGTTTCGTGGTAGTGCATAAAATAGTCTACTAACGCTGGTATTTATTGCGATACAAGTTTTGATAGCGATACTAGCGATGGATCTAAACGAATAACACGATCGACGTTGAATCGTCATTTTATTCTCCAACATTATAAGAGCTAGACTTAAACTCATTGCTAAAACAACAATGTATCGTTCTGCATATTTTTGTTTGAATTCCACAAGCATGCGTGTAGTCTATAAATATTGATAAATTATTTCTAAGAACCTCTGTCTCGATTCGTTTTAAGCAAAATATACATATATCGCTGTGTTATACTCCAGGCTCTGCTCGCCAACTGGGATGTATTCGGGCTGCAAACCCAAAATTTCGATAAAGTAGAAGTGTTATATCGTTGTTTTAGCAATGGGTTTAAATCTGTAGTTCTTATAATGCTGTCGAATGAGTTGATCGCTTAGATCCATCGCTAGTGTCACTGTCTGCGACACTAGCGATTTGTTAATGAAGTTATGCCGCCTAACACATTCCTTTTTAATTACAAATTGTAAAATATAAAAATTTTGATTTTATCCTCTCGGTAGAAATTCATTCGTAAAAATAACATGGACTCCGTGAACAATATCGAAGTTAAAAGTTACGAATATTAGCGAGGAGCCACTATACTTGTAGCATCAAAGTTCCTTTTAATTCGGGATTGTTCTTTTAACTCTTTAGTTTTGTCCAATTCTGTAGAGTACCATGATATCTGTTTTCAAACAATCTATCAGGATTGCAAACATCACATGCATTATAACACCGATGCATTTTCAGAGTTGGAACAGTCGTTAATATGTCATGAAGTATCCTACGCGACGATGGAGAATATCAGAGACGTTACTCTTGGAAGACTGGAAGCTTTCGTTTCGGTAGCTCACGGAGTACGGACAATGGGATCGGCAGCATTGACTCTTTGTTACGTGGCCATGGGCGCAGCAGAAGCTTATCACACTGACAATCTGCTGCCTTGGGATGTAGCTGCAGGCGTACTAATCATTAGGGAAGCTAATGGTGTAGTCATAGACACAAATGGTTCGTATCGTTCTGCATATTTTATTATTAATGTGGCAACTTAAAATTTGAATACGACATTATTTTACAAGTACCAAAGTATCATGAAAGTACAATTATTTATATCAATTATCATAAAAAAATTTACAGCTTTGAAATGAATACATTAAATGTAAACGTTCAAAGTTATTTTGTAAAAGAAAGTCAATACTATCTCTTTCTTAGTCTTCCTCTTCGTTACAGCACTACATTGAAAACTAATTAATAAATAGTAACGTAACCCTCTTCTTATTTAAACGATTCGAGTTATTATACAGGGAGTTCGGCCACTCCTGGGAAAAATTTTAATGGGGGATTCTAGAGGCCAAAATAAGACGAAAATCAAGAATACCAATTTGTTGATCGAGGCTTCATTTAAAGTTGCGCCTGTAGAACGGCAATCTACGAACCGCTGCGTGCATGCAATAGTGGTTCTCACTCAGCGTGAGAAACTCTACTTACTGACGTATCGACAGCCTTATAGTTTTCTGAGTGAGAGTAACTATCGCCGTTCTACAGACGGAACTTTAAACGTTAATAACTTTTTAACGAAGTCTCGATCAACAAATTGATATTCTTGATTTTTGTCTTACTTTGGCCTCTAGAATCTCCCATTAACATTTTTCCCAGAGGTGATCGAACACCCTGTATACTTTGCTGATAAGTTATTGAACGTGATCTTAGCGTTAATCACTTTTATGAATAATTACGATAGAATTTCATCGTAAGAATAAAAGAATGATCTGTTTTAGGGGGAGAATTCAACATCATGGCACCAAGAGTGGCAGCAGCGGGTAATCACAAGTTGGCCAATGCACTCGTAGCACTGATAAAGAAAGCTGATGCTAGGACATCAGAGAAGAAGTTTCTAATATATGGAAAAGCGAAGTAAATGTTTCTGAACAGAATATTTTTGACATATCGGTAACACCAGTAATTGCTCGCTACAACGTTATCAGTAGACTGTACATTTTCCTTAACATAGTGTTATCAATTTTGCTTATAAACCACTTTGAAGTTTACACACTTGAATAGCACACCTGATAAATGAAAACTAGACCTCTTCGTTTGACGAGCAACTAGTTATTATTAATATTAATTCTGTTCAGGCGTGCATCCGGGCCCCCCAACCTTGTCCCCGCGGTTTATGGCTACGGCTAGCGTGCCTTCGGTCATCGGCAACGGCAACGGTCGGACCGACGTTCGAGTCCCCGACCGATCCATTGTCACCAAAGTCATTCAAAATCAAAAACCCTAAGAGGGCATCATTTGCCGAGCACGTGAGCTGCCATCAGCCACTTTACTGCTCCTTTTTTTTTCTGCACTCATTGTTTTCAATCCCAGGGACCTCAGGAACTTTCCCTGTACGGAAAGTTCCTACGCCGTACACTTCCCCTCACAGTCAGAAATAGTTACACCCACTACCATCGCCAACCATCTATCAGACAAAATTCGTACACCCCCATCCACAACATTTTCCACCAATAGAAACAGATCCGAGCTTATGTAAACCATGAACATCGCCAAAAAATGTCACTTCTTCTGTGCAAAGTCAACCGAAACATACAAAATAAAAGAACACACAAAACCGTTCTCAGTACATTATCTATACGTAACCTGCTCCAATGGCATTAATTTGTTAGACGAGCAAGCCGGGTTCGCGACTTCAGAAACTTACAATTTCTCACAATAAAGTCCGCGAGCATATCCGGTACAAATTCGATTAATCTGGGATTAATCTAGCATCTATAATTACTAAAATTATGTAGCAATACCTCCAATTTATGATAAGTAGAGTTATTAAAGTAACTAACAAACCTCTCGTAAGAAATCACATTACGATGCTAAAAAGGTGTTAACCAGATGCCTATTAACGTTAATTATGTTAACCTTTTGCGGACTGAGTGTGCCAACTGATGAAGACTCTACTAGTCGTAGCTGTTTTCAGACGTATGATTCGTCACATATTTTTATTTATTTAAAAAACTTTGTCTAATATTCAAAGAGTATATTTTGTATTAAGATGTAAGTAATATAACACAATGAAAGTAAGATCATAATTATAAATGTTGAAAAGAAACGATGATAGATAACGAAATAATATTAGCTCAAGAAAACAGTAAAAAATACTTAATGATAGTAAAAATGATTAAATATAATGCAATATGTACAATGTAAATTCGAATTCGTAAATGGGATTATTTTATTAAACAATCTAATCTAATAGATAAAAAGTGACATGTACAATGGAAACTCAGGTTTGATTAGTCTACGTGTTCGAATTTACACAGCTTACTTTTACTATTATTGTATTATCTAATTTCTGTCCTAGTTTGATATTATTGTCTTTGCTTAAGAGCAAATTATAAATAATGACTCTCTACTGTTTCTATTTATGATTTATAATCATTCTGAAGATGACTCAAAACATATGAGACGAAATGCTAAATAAAAATAGCTCGTTTAAGACTGACAATTAGTCGACATTTATTTATTAACTAATTGAGTAACTCGTAAGTACTTCGAATGTTAATAAACAGAAAGGTCATTTGTGGGGAAGAGAAATTTTCTTAATTCAATTGTTACAGGTTATTGCATAATTTATTGCATTTGGATAAAGTAGGCCGTGTATAAAATAACAGACATTTATAACAAATGTATGAAAAAGTTGTATACTTCTGTACATTCGCATATATCACTCATTTATAATAAATGTACGAAATAACTGTAAAAAATTGCAATTGTTTGGTCACATGGATGATTAGAACTGCAATTATAAACGTAATCGTAATCGTAGTAAGTCGGGATTAACGATTAAAAAATATAATCTCACAACAAATTACAATCATAATCGTAGCCAAGAACGATTAATGATTACAGATTGTAATTTGATAATACCTTCTAATTAATTTTTTATTACACCTTACTCTCGCTACGCTTTCACTTTCTAATGTACACACATTCAGATATATTGCTATGTAAACATGTATATGGTATAAACCACTTTTAAATAGATGCAAATGTTTAAACATATCAAAATTTGATAAATGTTTACTTTAGTGGCTTCGCCCTAAATCTGTATATTTTTTTACGAACAATAATTGTTGCTCGTCCTCAGTTTTCAAAATATATTAAAAAATTGTTGACACTACCGCATTCTTTCTGTCTGTCGTGTGCCGCCCAACGTCTTCTGTTTACATCTGATCGACAAGCGAATGTATACATATAACGGGTGAGAAAAAGATTTACTTTAACCAATTTTAATAACTAACCTATACCTAACTCATATATGCATAATTTCAAAATATAAAATGGCCAGACCTAACCTAATTATTAAACCTAATTGTCGGAATAATGATTAGATTAACTAACTAGTTTTAGTGATTAGATTAGGTTTGGTTATAATTTTATATCGTATACATATACAGGGTGTTTGGCCACCCTTGAGAAAAATTTAAATGAGAGATTTTAGAGGCCAAAATAAGCCGAAAATCAAGAATATCAATTTCTTGATTGGGGCTCCGTTAAAAAGTTATTAAAAAATTTAATTTAAAAATTTCAAATCATTCTGAAAAAATTATTTTTGGTTGCGGAGGCCAATTATAATCATTTTTGGTAAATAGACATACCCCCGAAATTTTACTCAGTTTCGAAAAAAAAAATCGAGCAAGTGTTGAAATTCTTCGATGAAATTAAAAAATTTCGAATCGTTTTGGAAAAAATATTTTCAGTTGCAGAGGTCAATTACAAGCATTTTGGGTCAAAAGACAAAACCCCGAAATCCTACGCAGTTACGAGAAAAAAATTGAAGTAGATGAACAAACTTTTTGACAAAATTAAAAAATTTCAAATCATTCTAAAAAAATTATTTTCGATTGCGGGGGTCAATTACGATCATTTTTGGTTAAGAAACATACCCTCGAATTCCTACACACTTTTGAGAAAAAAAGACCTTACCGAAAATATAATTTCTGGCTAGAAAATGGTTCCCCAAAATTGCAGGCGTATCTTTAAAACATCATAACTCTTGAACGGATTGGACGATTTCAATGTTCCAAAATGCAAACGACGCGTATTCTAATCAAGAAAATGTAGAAATTCTAACAATATTGAAAAAGTTGTTCCTTGATCCCGTAAAATGAGAAAAACCCCATAAAAATGGTTCAATTTTCATACTGCCATAACTCCTACAATAGTGAATATATTTAAATGAAACTTTTTTCTGAAGTAGAGCTCATGGGCACCTACAAAAAAGTATTAGACAACTTTCCTATAGGGCGTCAATAAAATTACTAAAAATCAAAAACAAATTTTTAAGGAAAATCGACAGAAAACTGCTGAAATTTTTCGGCGAAAAAAAATTCCTCAATCATTCTGAAAAAATTATTTTCGGTTGCAGGGGTCAATTACAATCATTTTTGGTTAATTGACATACACCAAAAATCCTACGCATTTTCGAGAAAAAAATTCAGTATGGGCGGAACTTTAAACGTTAATAACTTCTTAACGAAGCCTCCATTAACAAATTGGTATTTTTTATTTTCGTCTTATTTTTGGCTCTAGAATCTGGCATTAAAATTTTTCCCACAGGTGGCCGAACACCCTGTATAGGTTAGGCCTGGGCTAGTATATTATTGAAATTGGATATATTAAATTTGCCCACCCGTTATACGCTCACTTATCGGTCAGCACGATGTGAACAGAAAAGGATCGGCGACCAGCAGACGCAACACGGCTATGGCACATGTAAGTACAGGCGGAGTGAGTGTTCAGTACCAACAATTTTTGCAAATATCTCGAAAACTGAAACCCCGCTATTATTAGTTCAGATAAAGATTGTTCGCAATCTCATCATCTATAACATACTCAATAATCATCGAGATCGCTACTCGGATATTATAATTTCTTAGAATTTTAAGTCTTTTTTTGTAAGAAAAAAAAATGCAAAAACTCATTACTTTTTCACCCTCCCCCAAATATACTTCTTTATAAAGATCAGATACCGTCTTTTGTGAAAAGAGAAACCATACAAAATATGCAGATTTAGGGTAAGGCCACTAAAATAAATATTTACCATCTTCAATTTTGTCGTTCAAAGCGAATGTATCCACAAACGAAGGCATAATCGGGCGTACCACGAACTTCAAACTTGTTGCAGAACAAAATTTCGGGGTTTGTCACATATTTTGTGCGCGATACGACATTTTAGATAAGAAATCAGATAAGGTTCAGTCGCGCGTCCTTTGCACGGTTTTGTACCGTTGGTTATATAGTGATAAGAAAATCAAGACATGTGGAGTGCGCGTTCGTTCAATCGTTCAGTCACTCGATTGAAAGCCTCTGCATCAGCCACAATGTCAAGCGAACTGGACATTAAGAATTACTTCGAGTTCGCCAAGGAGCTAACCTTGGAGGCAGGCGAGGTGAGTCGAAGTCGCTTCCTTCTTTTAGTGAAATTCTGATGGCGTTACAATATACGACAGGACAAAATATGTCTTTTTAATTTCACGTTATTAATTAAATTAAAGATTTCAAAGAATGTTCTATCGTGAAACTAAATTACTATTTTTGTTTTACAAATATTATTTGTCGGTGCGAGTGCAAATTGTTTAAAAATAATTTTCCTCTACAAGTATCACGAATTATTTTTTCGTACAAGTCTGGTCAGCTATCGTTTCATTTGTTTAAAAGCCTAAGAACGAAAAATAAGACTTTCGGAAAAGTAACAAATTTTCATAAATAACAAAGACACTGATCAACGCGTTTTAAACACCGCTTGCTAAACCGATATAACTGAATTAATTAAGAAATATGTAAGTAATAACCTAAATGTAAGCAAAAAGAAGACTACGTATACAGGGTGTTCGGCTACCTATAGCAAAAATTTTAATGAGCGATAGTAGAGGTCAAAATAAGACGAAAATCAAGAATACTAATTTGTTGATGGAGGCTTCGTTGCAAAGTTATTAACATTTAAAGTTCCGCCTGTAGAATGACAATCCGCTAAACAGCTGCGTTCGCGCGGACGGTTGCGGCAGGCGAGTGCTAGTGGTTCTCACGCAGCATGAAAAATTCTGCTTACCGACATTATCGACAGCCTTAGATTTTTGTCCACTTATGGGAATGCAAACACCTTACGTTGAATAAGATTCAACCTGTCTTATGAAAATCCAGAAGGGCATATCAAAACTCGCCCGACGAGATTTTCACAGAGAAAGGGTGAATGCCAGTTCCAATACACAATGTTGTGAACAAAAATCACCCACATGCGATTATACACGCCCCACAATTGTCCACAGTGTCCACAAGTATCCACAAATAATCCTTTCAGGCACTAACCACTATGCAATTAAATAAACACGTACCGCGATTATGTTATTCGTGAATGTCTACGTGTACGTGTATCACGATTCTTCCGAGTTACTTACGAATAAAACTGTTATTAATTTTTCAAATACACTTCAATTTAAAAATGTAAACAGGAATTTAATAAGTATTCGCTGATTGTTTATATCACTGTATTTCTTACATGCTACTTAATACAGAACTGTTGCGTGGACTCTCGCGACCGGTAAAATTGGAGTGGCGCGAAAGGAACGCTTTCCGAAGAGTAAGTTATTACTATCGGAATAGTTGGAATAAATGAATGTAGTACTGAACGAGCATAGTTGACTTTTTGACTGTGTAACGTGGAATGTCTATTTCAGGTCTGATGTCGGTATTTTCATGGATGGTGGAATGTTATTGGCTAATGTGTCGCGTTGTAGGGGTGTCGTTGGTTCTGAATGATTGGTGTAGTTGTTCTGTGTGGGTGTGGTTTGACTGTACTGGCGGAAAGGGCAGGCTCTGGTGAGGAAGCCCTTTCCGGGGTTGGGACGGAGTTTTCTAGTAAATTTGAATGTTAGTAACAATTAAGTGAAAGCTAGCAAAGTGAAAGTGCGCGCTAGCCGCGCACGTGCCTTTCAGCTGTCTAGAAAACTCCGTCTTGGTTACCCTTGAGAAACAAAAGGCTGAGGGTCGTTTGCAGGCCCGGCCAACGGCTCGACCGAGGGCCTTGACTGTCGCCAACTAACCCTGCCATAAAGGCTAAATTGCGAGGTCCTGCTCGCGTCGCAACAATAACTGAATCAAATATGTCTAAAATGTGTCGTGTGAACGCGTTTTACGACTGACTAGCTGGCCGAACACGTACCGATGCTGCCCTTTGTCTCCGCTGTGTGTGAGAGAGATAAGCGAGGCGAGTGACGTAGAATCGGGGTCCTGTTCGGCATTTGTTTCTCTGAACCTCGTCGATCGATGGCACAGTCAGCTGCTAGTATTGTTACATTCTTCGCCGTGAACGTAAATCGATGCAAAAATTTCATTTATCCTGCGATTCCTTTTTACATTTTTAAATTGAAGTGTATTTGAAAAATTAATAACAGTTTTATTCGTAAGTAACTCGGAAGAATCGTGATACACGTACACGTAGACATTCACGAATAACATAATCGCGGTACGTGTTTATTTAATTGCATAGTGGTTAGTGCCTGAAAGGATTATTTGTGGATATTTGTGGACACTGTGGACAATTGTGGGGCGTGTATAATCGCATGTGGGTGATTTTTGTTCACAACATTGTGTATTGGAACTGGCATTCACCCTTTCTCTGTGAAAATCTCGTCGGGCGAGTTTTGATATGCCCTTCTGGATTTTCATAAGGCAGGTTGAATCTTATTCAACGTAAGGTGTTCGCATTCCCATAAGTGGACAAAAATCTAAGGCTGTCGATAATGTCGGTAAGCAGAATTTTTCATGCTGCGTGAGAACCACTAGCACTCGCCTGCCGCAACCGTCCGCGCGAACGCAGCTGTTTAGCGGATTGTCATTCTACAGGCGGAACTTTAAATGTTAATAACTTTGCAACGAAGCCTCCATCAACAAATTAGTATTCTTGATTTTCGTCTTATTTTGGCCTCTACTATCGCTCATTAAAATTTTTGCTATAGGTAGCCGAACACCCTGTATAGATTGAACAATGACTTTTCTTTGAATGCGGTCGTTTATCAGATAAACCAAAGCAAGATAAGCAATAACAGTCATAACAATTATAAATTTAATCTATATTTTTCTCCACTTACTTTCTTGTCAGATATTCAAATGCGGCTTCGAAGGAGCGAAGAGTGTCAAGTTCAAGGATCACGAGTGGGATTTAGTAACAGATTATGACACAAAAATTGAAGAATTGTTTACGAAACGTCTGAGAGAAAAGTTCCCCAGCCACGAGTGAGTCACAAGGTCCTTTGTTCGTTTAGCATATAGCAAGTAACAATAAAGTTAATACACGAAACATAGACATAGTACGCGAAATATTACAGATTCATCGGGGAGGAAACCTTCGCTAAAACGAAAGAGAAACCGATATTAACGGACAAGCCAACGTGGATTATAGACCCTATAGATGGGACAACAAATTTTGTAAACTCGTTTCCACACACTTGTATATCTGTCGCTTTGTCAGTTTATAAGGAAATCGTGGTAGGAATAATTTACAACCCGTTGACCGAGGAACTGTACACCGCGATGAAAGGAAAAGGCGCATTTTTAAATGGAAAACCTTTGAAGAGCTCTTGCGTTACTGGTGAACTTCCATTTGCTGTTACTAACGGAAACTTTCTACCGAAAATCTTTCATGCATAAATATTCACCGGACAACAATTTGTTAAAAAATTATTACTGCATTCGTTTAAATGGAAAACGGACACCATGAACATTTTTATAGCGTAACAAATAATTGATTGAACTTGGAATTAGTCATCTCTTTCTGAATCATAGTTTTTGATCGTTGTACAACATTCAACGTAATTACCAAGTTTCTTTTCTAATTTTTATTATTCATGCAGCATGAAAACAGATACAAGGATCCTATTAAAAACAATCACAACCGACCAAACTTTCTCACGCAGATTATTTTCTTGCAGAACTGAAGGAGGCTTTGATAGACCTCGAACTGTTTTCGTTACGTTTTCACGCGAAAAATCGGGACATCAGAATGGGTAGATTCGAAGCTATTACTTCAGTTGCCCGGGGGTAAGAATAGAAAACTAAATACATATTATTTAAATCTGAGCACAATCAGAATTATTTTTATAATATATCAGTATAATACTTATTATCCCCGATTATACACAAAGGAGTCCCGAAAGATTTTCGAAAATTCTAAAAACTGTTAATTTTACAGCTCTTTGAAAAGTAATTCTATCCTTCGTTCAATAAATTATTTCACTTAATAAGAAATTACGTTGAGAATTCTTTTGATATAATTTTAAAGAAATATCCTTTTTTAACAGAACCAAAAATATTGAAAATGTAGCCCTATTTTTACTGTTTCTCTTTTCTTTTCCTTTATTCGCGGGTCAAACTTTGAAAAACGTAACGCATTAAAACTGATTTTCATGTTGTTGATTTCAAAATATATTTTAAAAATCCGGATCTGTGAAAAGCACACAGAGTGTTCGGTCCAGTGTTCTGGGAAAAATTTTAATGGAATACTAATTTGTTGATGGAGGTTTCGTTAAAAAGTTATAGAAACATTTCAGACCACACAGAATATTTTCGGGAAAGAATTTTTTCTCGAAAATACGTAGGATTTCGCAGGTATGTGTACTCACCAAAAATGATTGTAATTGACCCCTGCAACCAAACATAATTTTTCCAGAACGATTTGAAATTTTTTAATTTAATTTTTAATAACTTTTTAACGAAGGCTCAATCAACAAGTTGATTATTGATATTCTTTATTTTCGTCTTATTTTGGCCTCTAGAATCTCCCATTAAAATTTTTCCCATGAATTCATATGAATCGAATTATTAGAGAAGAGTATTTCTTCGATAGAATCTCAAAAACGTTCATATTGTAATGAAGACGTAGTTATTAATATTATTATTAATATTTTAATGGAAAGGAGTAGAAAAAGTTTATTGACATTCTTTCGAGGCTATGCATACATTTTTAGAAAAAATGGCCCCAAAGATGAGAAGGTTGGGTAACTTTTTTTTCTCAAATTTCATCATCCTTGGAAGGTGTCTTAAGAAGATATGCTACGTAAACTCGTACTAAATTTCAACGACTTGATAAAAGAAGAATAGAATTTTGTACAGAATAGCGAATTGGTTAATTTTTTTGTTACGATCAGAGTTAGATACATGGGATCAGCTGCTTTGTCTATGGCATACATAGCGAAAGGTGCGCTGGATTGCATGCAAGCGGACGGCCTTCAACCTTGGGACGCTGCAGCAGGCCTGTTACTCATTCGTGAAGCTGGTGGTACAGTAGTCGACACAAAAGGTATCACACAAAAGGAACGAAAGCTAGAAATTAGAATAGAAAAAGTAGCTCCGGTATTTAATGTTAAATTCCGATTACTGTAACTTGGAAAGATGTACAAGGATTAACAGGAACAAAAATTACCGCATTTTTATTCCTCATTTCAAAGTATCTAAAAATTCAAGTGTAATTCTTTTCAGTCGACGAGTACGATTTTATGAAACCACGCACAATCGCCGCTGGAAGTGACAAGCTAGCGTTACAAGTGAAGCAGCTATTAATCGATACTGATCTAAAAACAATGCGGAAGAGATTGACAAAGGTATGATCAGGTCGCAATTTCGATACCAGTAGAGGAGTAAAAAGTCTCGAAAATAAATATTTATATGAACTGAACGTATTAGACAAACTGTTGATCGATTAACGTGTACTTGTATAAAGGAATAAAATATGCTGTTATATTTTTAATAACTTTGTAACTATTTATCTGCATTCCGAGAAATTGTACACGTTCTTTGGCTCTATTCTTAAAAAATTTTGATGAAAATTTGCAGATTTGTAGAACAGTGAAACATAAGAACCAGATTTGTATACATATTTTAATTAGTTATGATAACTCAAGTTTAACAAGTTGACTACCAAGCTGCTTTCGATTAAGTGTCATTTTTACATCAGATGAAAAATTTACTTATTTTTTTCTGTTCGTGTATTGAAAATTTACTTGTTGTTTTTACATATTTAAAACAAACAAAACTTGCACGATATAACAAACAAATAAATTTACGGTAATTATTTACTTTAGCGGTTCCTCACCGATTTCGATGACCTTGAAATATGTTGGCAAGGTCACTGTTATAAATACTTTTTCTTTATACATGTTACCGCCGCTCGCCCTTTGTTTTCGAGATATTTGCAAAAATAATTTTATGTCTGAATTAGCCTCTGGTTGAGTTTAAGATAAAATATTATACTTTATTCTTTACTATTATTACTATTATCGTTATTATTAACAGAAATTGGAAAAATTTCTGCCATTATATCAAAAAAATGCAGGTATTCTTGTATTGAAATCATATTGCCGTCGAAACAAGAGCTCAGCTATGTAACTGACATAATGCTCTTTCCGGGTCCCATATCGTGGAATATTGTCAAGCTAATATCGGATAACATTAATAAAGAAAATTGAAATAGAAAATGAATGCGTGGCCGGCCGCCACACGGCGGCCGGTATAAAATAATCTAACCCAGACCTAATTCATTATATTAATTACTAGGTAGAATAGTTAGGTTTGGGTTAGGTCTGGGTTAGATATTCTTATACCGGCCGCCGTGAGGCGGCCGGCTACTCAAATCGAATTTTTAAGCACACCCGTTATACGCATCCATTGCCGGCCGCCTCGATGTATCTATAGAAACAATAAACAATCGGCGATTCAACGCTTACACACACGCTGCCACAGGCACGTACGTATAGACGGAATTCATTGTAGTGGGAGCGATCTTTTTGGCGAAAAATTTCGGAAACTAAGGCCGAGCGGCGGTAACATGTATATAGAAAAAATGTTCATAACAGTGACCTTGGTAACATATTTCAAGGTCATCGAAATCCGTGAGGAATCACTAAAGTAAATAATTACCAGAGAGATATAATGGCTTGTTAGAACAATTATTGCAAAATTTTGTCACCCTTTTCGTGGTGTCCTGTGCAATTTTACTATTAAATTCTTTAGTTTATTTCCATTGTCTTTCTTTTACCTCACGTTCGTTTTCTACTTGGTGGAATGGACTGATAACACGACTTTTAAAAGTATTTCAAACATTATTATGGACCATATAAAAATGGTATCAACAATTATTGTTTACCTCTTTTCCTTTAAACGAATATCCAATGTTCCCGTTGCATAATTTTATAGCAATCAATATAGATTCCAAGAAATCTGAGGTTACGTCTAAAAAATGAATTAAATAATTAACTATTTTACCAACTGGAGGTATGTAAATGAGATTTGGAAAAAAAAGAAACAATTATAAATCAAGTCGAGCCTCCACGTGTCCTGTTGCGAATGGTACATTACTTGAAAAATAGCTGCTGACACACTAAAGTATAATCAAAGTATCACATTGCGGTTGCGAAATGTTACGGTTGAATGAGCGTTCCACGCAAATAAAAGGTTTGATAAAAAATATAATAAAGGATCTAAATCTTACACAACGATAAATAGTAAAGGCTTACGTTTTCATGAGTTTGTACAAGGCTTAGAACAATGAAATGACCAGATTTTATTATATAATCAATCCTTATATAATAAATGTTTATAATAATATTACGTGCAAATAATTGCGAATTAAATTGGTTTCAGAATGAAAGAAACGACTTCTTTTTATAATTAATTAATATGAACGGAAACTCAAAAATACTGAAGATGGCAATAATGCAAAGAAACATCGTAAATCTTGTTACTAATTTTGCATTAAAGATATCGATAGTTGAAGCTTCGTGTTTAATTAAAAAATAGCAACAGACACTGTATCAAATACAAATAACATAATACAGTAATTTAAACAAATGTATGGTAATTATATAATCAGTGTTGCGAAGATGTTCAAAGCAGTCTTTTATCTTGACATTAGTTGTCATTGTAATAAGATGCAGTTACTACTATTGTATTGCAATTTGCTGACTATGTTGATAATGATCTTGACTCTTTCATAACCTCATTCTCAGAAAATAATACCTTAAGATTCATAGGAATTAAGAATTTGCATGGAATATTCCACTATAAAGATTTGAAGAAAAGATACGAATTATTTTGTAAAATAAACTAACTTTAGTACAACTCGGTGTTACAGAAATATTGTTTTTAAATCGTTTCTCTTTCAAACTGCAGATTAGTAATAGACCTTAGCAGTCAATCCCTGAAACGTTCAGCATTTTTTCCAACCGAACAATCAAACTAAAGGTTAAATTGTAATATCAATAAATTACAGTCTCGAAGCTTCAACTTTTCCCCATTTGAAATTCCACTCTCAAATTACAAAACTGATCTAAAGACAGAAGAATAAAGAACAATCCATCGGGTAAAACTTTTCTGTTAATGTATTTTTATCTAAATTTACATTGTACAAATTTGACATTTTGAACTTACAACATATTGCAACGTTTACAATGGAAGGACTCTGGTACTTGTAAAATTGTAAATATCGCTAATTTAATTTGAAATTTTTTAAAATAACAAATTCACCAATTATCGGATATTTTTAATGTTTCACGTTATAATTTGAACAAAAGTCGAGGACATCTTTGGACATGGAAAACTGGCGTGGTAGTTAACGAGTTAAAATGGTGTCACGAAACCCGTATGTATTTCATTGGTCTCGAAACACGACAGTCGTTAGTAACAGTTACCCTTTGGAAAAGAAGACAGCAGTGGAATTAGCCAGATCGCTTTATCGCCAATAAATTATACCTGTTTGGTGTTGACGTTGCCACGAATTTTTATCGAGACGTATGTTTGCTAAATTAATCGCGTTATCAAATCATGTAACCGCGCGCCAACTTCATTATCTTAGCGAGAATTAGAAAAAAATGCCTGTCTGCGGTGACGAAGTGGCTAAACGTGAACCGAAAACGTGCTCGTTGTAAGTCGGTGGAGCGCGAATCGATAGACCCAAGTCATCCTTGAATCGTTCCTGCAACGCGTTCTGAATCGAATAAAAAGTACACGATACTGCTCCGCCCAGTGTGGCCAGATCTGGCATAATTGAGTGCATCGACGTCGACATTAGTAACGATGAACTTCCTTAGCGTCTAACGGAGTGGTGGGGATAGCAGGCATATACTACCGCTCGAGCCACGCATGCGTGAGCTCGACACTTCGCGCAGCTTCGGGAAAACGATAAAGAACGCTAGCGTGAGCCTTTCCTTCTTGCTCTTGTAACAACTGAAATACGATCTCGCGATAATCGGCATACGATTCCAAGTCTCGACTGCCCCAGCATTTTTACTTTCCGACCTATGCAAGGTGAAAGGAAAGTACCATAACGAAGAAAAATTTCGAAAACTTTTTTTAGCGAAAATACACGTTTTAAGACCCACTGATCATATTGTGACTGTTAAAAAAAAGAAATTTTTTTTCTGTGCCTAAACGACTGAATGTATTTCAATGAAACTTTACATTTATGTTTTATGTTCCCGTTTCAATGTCTGATTAAATTTTGAGCGTGATCAGCTCCCGGATAGTGATGATTATACGTGTTATAGTTTTATAATTACGATCTAAATAGGAGAATTAATTGCTACAGAAATAGATTAATCCTGACTTTTTCCGCTATGTTTTTCAATAACCGTATCAATTTGTTACACAGAATCAAATGTTATACAGGATGTACGGCCGCCCCTGGGAAAAATTTTAATGTGAGATTCTAAAGGCCAAAATAATACGAAAATCAAGAATATCAATTTTTTGATTTAGGCTCCGTTATAAAGTTATTAAAAAATTTCAAATCATTCTGATAAAATTATTTTTAGTTGCGGTGGTCAGTTACAATCATTTTTGGTAAATACACATAACCCTGAAAACCTACGCACTTTCGAGAAAAAAATTTCTGACCGAAAATCTAACGCGAGACCAGAAATGCACCCCCGAAATTTCATGCGAATCTTTAAAATGTCGTCATTTCTAAACGGATTGGGGGATTTTAATGTTTCAAACGGCAAAGAACGCGTATTTTGGTGAAGAATATGTAGAAATTCTAAAAATATTGGAAAAGTTGTTCCTTAACCCCGTAAAGTAATAAAAATGGTCCAATTTTCAAACGGCCATAACTCCTACAATAGTGAATGGATTTGATTGAAATTGTTTTCTGAAGTAGAGCTCATAGGTATCTACAAAAAAGTATTAGACAACTTTTTCTGTTTAGTGCTAACCAAATTTATTAAAAATGAAAAACGAATTTGTAAGAAAAATCGACAGGGTGCTTAAATTCGGCGAAAAAAAAAATTTCAAATCGTTCTGAAAAAATTATTTTCGATTGCGGGAGTTAATTACAATTATTTTTAGTCATTAGACATACCCTCGAAATCCTACCCACTTTCGAAAACAAAATTTGAGTAGGTCGAAAAATTTTTCAAGAAAATTAAAATATTTCATATCATTCTGGAAAAAATTATTTTGTAGGAATACACAACTTTTTTTGTAGGAAATACACGTTTTAAGACCCCCTCATCATATTGTGACTATTGTTGCAATATGTTGTAAGTTCAAAATGTCAAATTTGTACAATGTAAATTTAGATAAAAATACATTAACAGAAAAGTTTTACCCGATGGATTGTTCTTTATTCTTCTGTCTTTAGATCAGTTTTGTAATTTGAGAGTGGAATTTCAAATGGGGAAAAGTTGAAGCTTCGAGACTGTAATTTATTGATATTACAATTTAACCTTTAGTTTGATTGTTCGGTTGGAAAAAATGCTGAACGTTTCAGGGATTGACTGCTAAGGTCTATTACTAATCTGCAGTTTGAAAGAGAAACGATTTAAAAACAATATTTCTGTAACACCGAGTTGTACTAAAGTTAGTTTATTTTACAAAATAATTCGTATCTTTTCTTCAAATCTTTATAGTGGAATATTCCATGCAAATTCTTAATTCCTATGAATCTTAAGGTATTATTTTCTGAGAATGAGGTTATGAAAGAGTCAAGATCATTATCAACATAGTCAGCAAATTGCAATACAATAGTAGTATATGCCTGCTATCCCCACCATTCCGTTAGACGCTAAGGAAGTTCATCGTTACTAATGTCGACGTCGATGCACTCAATTATGCCAGATCTGGCCACACTGGTTCCGCCCAACACAGTAACCGCCGATGCGTATTCCTGTTGAGGATCTCGCATCCACCGTTCACCGGGAAGCCCGCAACCATGGCGCGTTACGCTGAGGACGTATATTACGAATTCGCTATTAACCTGGCTGACGACGCCGCTCAAGTAAGCACTCTCGAACCACTATCCGTCAGAGATCTGCTATCATTCCTTTACATTCTACTCCAGAACGATTCTAGAAACGCTCGAAACTCGTTCTTGTTTTAAGCGAGGATAACGACAAAATTAATTGTGGCGTGATTTAATGAAACTCATCTTCCTCCGACAGAGCGTTTCCTCTGCATATGCAGCACCGTATTTCCGACGTACAATTCCAATCGTTATTTCACTTGTTTACTTATGTAATATTAGTATGTGCAACGCCCGTGACTGTACGAGAAAATACTATTTGAATATATGCATGCCCAGGCAGTAAATTTCCCTTACCAAGAAATATTTTATCTCCGTTCCTAAACACCGTGAACTAACACTACTGGGACGTAGTTCTAGAACAATGACTTTTTTTTCGTTCAATTTTTCATTACTGTATCACCAATTTCATCTGGATCCATACAATCATTTACAAGGGGGAAGGATCCCCGATTGTCCCGACTTCGTTTTTAACGGGTCTTCGCATGATAGTTTTTATTGCATACATGGCAATTATCATCCAACATTGTGTACACTGTGAACGCGATAAACGTTTACAATAGAAAAAAAATATTCCATTAAACGGGAATCGAACCCGGGACCTTGGATTTACTAGTCAGACACATTTCACACCTCGCCAATGCCACTTCGATATAGCTGCAGTCTATACTCATGATATATGTATATTGAAAGTTCATAACTTTAATTATTTATACCTTTAAAATTATAGGATATCTAAACCTAATGTTTTACACATATCACTAGGAACATATACAAGGTGTTCGGCCACCCTTGGGAAAAAATTTTAGTAGGAGATTCTAGAGGCCAAAATAAGACGAAAATCAAGAATACTAATTTATTGATAAAGGCTTCGTTAAAAAGTTATTAACATTTAAAGTTTCGCCCGTACTGAATTTTTTTCTAGAAAATAGGTAGGATTTCGAGAGTAGGTCTATTCACCAAAAATGATTGTAATTGACCCCCGTAACCGAAAATAATTTTTTCCAGAACGATTTGAAATTTTTTAATTTTGTCACAAAATTTCACACCTTTCGGAATTTTTTCTTGAAAGTGGGTAGGATTTCGAGGGTACGTCTTTTCACCAAAAATTATTGTAATTGACCCCCACAACCGAAAATAATTTTTTCCAGAACAATTTGAAATTTTTTTTTCGTCGAAAAATTTAGACACTCAATTTTTCTTAAAAATTCGTTTTTCATTTTTAATAAATTTGTTTGATGCTCTACAGAAAAGTTGTCTAATACTTTTTTGTAGGCACCCATGGGCTCTGCTTCAGAAAAGAATTTCAGTGAGATACCTTTACTATTGTATGAGTTATGGCCGTTTGAAAATTGAACCAGTTTTAGGGGGTTTTTCGCACTTTATGGTGTCAAGGAACAACTTTTTTAATATTGTTAGAATTTCTACATATTCTCCACTAAAATACGCGTTGTTTGCATTTTGAAAAATTAAAATCCTCCAATCCGTTCAGGCAGTTCGCATGAAATTTCAGGGAAGCATTTCTGGCCTCACATTAGATTTTAGGTAAAAAATTTTTTTCTCAAAAGTGCGTAGAATTTCAGGGTATGTCTATTCACAAAAAATGCTTGTAATTGATCCCTGTAACTGAATATAATTTGTTTAGTATGATTTTTAAATTGTTTAATTTCATCTAAAAATTTCAGTACCTACTCCAATTTTTTTCTCGAAAGTGGATAGGATTTCAGGGGTATATGTATTCACCAAAAATGATTGTAATTGAGCCCCGCAACTAAAAATAATTTTTTTAGAACGATTTGAAATTTTTTAATTTAATTTTTTAATAACTTTTTAGCGAAGCCTCAGTCAAGAAATTGATATTTTTGATTTTCGTCTTATTTTGGTCTCTAGAATCTCCCATTAAAATTTTTCCCAAGGGTGGCCGAACACCCTGTATATCATCTTGCAAAGACCCGTTAAAAACAAAGTCGAACAATTGGGGTCTTTCCATTGTCAGGCACAGTCTGCTTTGTTTGTTAGCACTGTTGCTTGTATATTAATAAATAGTAAGTTGTGTTAATCAACTGCAGCCAAAGCATTGCTATTGCACCTATTACAAGCTCCTAACGTATCATATTCTACAATCAGCCCTTGACTGTAACGAAATGAAGCAACTTTAAGTCTAGGACTTTCGACACTGTTTATAAACAAATGCAGCAGTTCATTTGAAAGCAGTGATTTTTTTTTTACTAATTTTTAACTCCATTATCGAGCAACAATTAAAGCTGCTGAATTAATAGTTATCTCACACGACTTTTTGTCTGAAATAAATACATATTGTTCAGCAATTTATTGATCTTAACTATACCGATGCAATAACTACACATTAATAAATGGTTCGAAATAACAAGCGAATCATTCGCTCTCTGATACAGAACGAACAAGCCTCTTGGCTCCACGAAGTAGAATATTAGTGCATTTAATGAAGTATTTCTATACTTGATTCGTTTATTCCGGAAACGTTCAAGGGCGTGGCTTGATTATTTTGAGCGATAGAACATTTAACTACCAGAAGCGATCGTTAAATACACGGAAGAACGAGCAATGAAAAAAGAGGAATTCATTAACACACGGGAAAACACTATGAATGGAATGACGCACATTCGCATGCATATCTAGTACACAGATTTCCAGATTTACACTTAACAGACTAATTACATACTTATCAAGTTCTTCCAACAAATTGAAGACTTCCCTTATTAAAACTTAATTCAATTAAATGAATGTTTTTTTACTACATAATGCATTAATTTGATGTACGATTCACTGATTAACACGTTTACGAACACATGATGCATGTACAGGGTGAGTCATTCGATACTTACGTCTTAATTTTTCTTGTAAACTACATGTTGTATAAAAAAAAGTTTCAAACGAAAGTTGTTTGGTACAAAGCGGAGGATACATAGCAACAATTAATTTGTTGCTATTTTCTTTTTTTTTTTATCAAAATATGAAGGTCATCTTGAGTTGTTTAACTATGTGCAGCATTTGATCACGATATTCGAAAGTCTATTTAGAAATTAATAGTTACCGAGATATTCTCCAGTGAAGGATAAGGGAACTTTTGTGGATGAGTATTTCACACAACGCTCGCCTCAGTTTCAATAGTTACAGACATGTGGAATCTTCTAATGTTGTTGATGCACGTATCAATTCCGCAGTGATAAGTTATCAGCAGACGCGGACTTGATCCCCATCATAATGAAATTGAGTAATATGAAAAAACGACAGGATTCGACGTCACTCAATTATTATCTTTCGGGCTATTTAAGAACTGAAGTTTATCGCGAGCTACCTACAACCATCGAAGATATGAAAAACCGCATACTTGCATTTGTAATGGACAACATTTTGAACACTTTTTGCATTAAAAATCGACTAAATATCTCGAAAAAAATTCATTTTTTTACCCCGTGCACTTTAATAATTTTTTTATTCCGTATCCAATAGACTAAAAAACTCAAGGTGACCATCGTACTTTGGTAAAAAAAAAACATAGCAAAAAATTAATTGCTGCCACGTATGCTTCTCTATATACCAAACAACTTTTGTTCCAAAACATTTTTTTTATACAACATGTAATTCGCAAGAAAAAGTAAGATGAAAGAGTTAAATGATACACCCTATACATTTTAAGGCGCGAAATTCAAACATGGAAGGGGATGGAGTTGTCGAATGAGAAGAGATTTACTGTTTTTCATAAAATTCCACTATTATGTTTAAAATATCTATTTAAGTTAAGCACGGACAGATGGGACGACCTAATATATGAATGCATTTATAGTAAAATATTTAACTGCGAGAAAAGTAACTAGTTTTCTCGTCTTTATTGCTAAAGATCCTCAAAACAGCCATCAATGGTTTAAAGAAAGTCGACGAAAAACTAGGCAACTGGGACTTCGTAACAGAGTATGATCGTAAGATAGAGGACATTATCATAGGCAACCTCAAAACGAAGTTTCCAAATCATAGGTAAATATTTCCCCAACTACAGTAATATTAATGTCCGTTGTTATCTCCCCCACCCCCCCTCCCCAATTTTTGAAAGTCAAACACGGCTTCGAGTGTGGAGCGTGTCGAGCGTAACTTGACGCCGATCGTTATCGATACATTGTGTATACTGTAGTCCGCTGAGTTGAAGTCCCGTGGCAGGAATGCGAGAAAAGTAGAAGGGATACACCTATTCCCATGTACACATTGAACTCTGGTTCGCTATTCGTCACGGCAGTTACGCACACATGTGGACTGGCTGAGAGCAAGGGAGCGAGATAGAGTGTGCCGTCCCGCGGGACTTCAAGTCAGTGGACCACAGTACCTACTATCCAGAGATGACTTGTTGGCTAGGCACCAACGAACTAAACGGGGCAAGGGCAAGGAGAGAAGGTCTACGCGCCGCCTTATACCCACCATAGAGGCCCGCTCTGACGCCACGCTACATAGTAGTAGGGTCTCCATAACCACTTTTGTTCTATTCATGGCTAGTATTTTGAGCATACGGTTACGCCAATGCCTCTCAGTCTTGTCCTATCCTACTATGTCCCTATACATTCCGTTCGCGTCCTTTATTACGCGATGGAATTGTAGTGTGAACGACTCAGCCAATAACGACAATGCGTGTGAGAGCAGGCGTCGCTATTACGCTACGGCCAATCGGCGTGCCTAGCCATCAAATCTTCACTGTATAGTACCGTGCTTCCACGAGAAGAAGGCACAGCGTGTTTACATCCTCACTCCTGTTGCAGTCTGCTGACTCACAAGTATTGGTCGAATACGGTGACGAAGATCGATGACAGCCAATCAGCGGATTGCAGCAAGAGTGGGGATGTAAACAGGCTGTGGATAGACGATACAATTCTCCGCTGACTTGAAGTCTCGTGGGAACACGAATTCCCACGCACACATTGATCTCTAGCTCGCTATTCATCGCGACAGTTACACACGCATATGGACTGTCTGAGAGCAAGGGAGCGAGATAGATAAATGGGCGGCCCGACTCCCCTTGCCCCTGAGCCGCCCCGCAAGACTTTAAGTCAGCGGAGGACAGTACATAGTATTGTATCTCACTCGCTCATCCTCTTTCCTTGTCTCGGTTGAATTCATAGAATTCACCTCCCCGCATAAGCACATGTCGAGAAACGTAATCAAGTCTCTACGGGAGATAGGAAACGTTTAACACTTCTGACAGATTTATAGGCGAAGAATCAACTGGAAAGGAACTTCCGGAATTGACGGATGATCCTACGTGGATCATAGACCCTATCGACGGTACCACCAACTTCATTCACGGTTTTCCGCATACTTGCGTGGTGATCGGTTTAGCAATTAAGAAGGAAATGGTGATTGGTATCGTTTACAATCCTATTCTCGAGCAAAAATTCACGGCGAGGAAAGGACGGGGTGCATTTTTGAACGGAAAGCCCATAAAGGTTTCGGAAGTTCAAGGTGAACCGGACTTAACGAACACTATTAACTGCATTTCTTGTGATCGGAAGTATCAATGCTAAAATTCTTTAGAAAGATTAATTTTAACAAACAACAATATACTCGTACGATATGTATTTGTTCTTGGAAAAAAATATTCATGAATTAGTTAAGTGGATGGAACGTAATTTAACTTACTCTTTTCAGATTTGTCGAAAGCTTTAGTTTGCATAGAAAGTGGTTTCATAAAAGTGGACCACTTAAAAGAAAAGACTATCGAAAGATTACAAGCAATTGTCTTGGAAGCACAGGGGTAAGCTCATTGTAAATCCGATCTTTTTTTTTAATTCAAATTTTTCGTCCGGAATCGCATCGTCTTATTTTGATTTTTATTACAATGAAATCTCATTCTAACCTATAAACTGGCAAGAAATATAAACAGCTGCGTACGCGAGCGACGTGTGATCAGCCCAGGACCGAAACGTAATGTTCAGATCTTTACATAGTAGAAAGGAAGCTAATTTTCAAAAGAAAAAGTGCTCATTCTCAATATTAATATGATATTATTAATGTTATTACATAATAATGTAAATAAAGTGGCAATTGAAAATACAAATTAAGGTGTGGGAAACTATATTTCAACATTTAATTTATCTGTTTATTACTATACACAATTTATATTGATTTTATATTTGAACTATCAGAATCTAAATTAATTATAAATGATTAATGTATCAAGATTATGGTCTAATTACTAAAATTTGTGTTCAATAACTTGAACAACATATTCAACGTATTTTTTTCCAATTTTCAACCGTAACATGTACCTACTAATGACTCGTGGAATAAATTTTTTACATCCGCAAACCTGCACGTTGTATTGTTTACTGTAATATGATTTTTAACTTGCGTGCAAATCATGGTCAATTGGATTTAATGCGTAATACGAGGGCCCTTCCCAGGGACCGTTAGAAAGCGTCCCTGAGCAGCAACGTCGGGCAGCCACTCTCGTCTGCGGTTGCAGCGTCGATCACGTGAACTTTCTGTTTTATTTACCGCCAGTTCTCGTCGAACCGGGTTAGGTTATTTAGGTTTATAGTTCTTCTCACATAATTTTGATTAATAAAATTTTACTCTGAAAGACTATTCGTTTAATTTTTAAATAGTACATGTTTCCGAAATCAATCAGACAAAAAAGCATTTCTATTACGATTTATTCTTCCTCGAAGGATTCGTACGCTTGGTGTGGCGGCATTAACTTTGTGTTACGTCGCGCTGGGAATCGTAGAAGCTTATTATATCGAAGGGCCAGGAATCTCAACGTGGGACATAGCCGCAGCGACATTAATAATTTCAGAAGCGGGCGGTGTCGTCCTCGATCGTGTAACAGGTAATTGAATTATTCAAATGCACGTATTTAAGTTTTTACTACCGCACAATACAGAAATAATCATTATAAAGATCACGCTTAAATTACAGGAGAGAAGATCGACATTATGGTACCCCGTGCAATTGGAGCATGTAATCAAAACATTGCAAGGGAAATCGTCAGAATTATTCACGAAGCTGACCAAAGAGTAGAAAAGAGAAATAAATAATCCATGTTCGATATTGCCATTAGAATTAAAATTAAACAAAACATTTCGTTCCTACCAGTAGTATTACGTTATAACGTTACTCGTCTTAAAATCTTCTATTCGCCGAAAGAAAAAAAGTGTTGAAAATTTACTATACATTATGATCCAACGTTTTAGATTAAAGTTTACACCCTGTATAAGTTGAACTACGCAGATTAGAAAATGTAAAAGGTTCCTGTATTTGAAATAAAAAAAACATTCGATAAAATTGTGTCTCGTTTTTTTATCTCATCGCATACCGATGACGAAATAACACGTCATAAAGATTCGAGTACCAATGACATGGAATGTAGAGAAAAATAACAACGAATCATCTAGGTATGATTCAGTGGGTGAAACTCCTGAGATTTCGTTCTTTCATTGAACCATGTGATTACGTTATTAGAAATACCATTATGCATGTATAATAACCAACACGTAACGTAGACGTTAGGTAAATCAGACATTACGGATTTTTGCCCCTCCTATGTGGGTATATCTCTTTTGCCCCGCTCTCTTCTTTCTTCCATTCTAGTCACTATATAGGCCAGCCAGTGCATCGTTACAGTGTCAGTCAGTTCAGGTAGAAACTTATTGACGTACTATACGTGCGCGCAAAACGGCATTTTTAGTCGTGTTATTTATAATCACTAGTGAAATAGTGCAAATTTGATGATAAGTATGACCGACTCGCACAACATCGACGAATACTACAACGTCGCCGAGGAACTAGTTCTAAAAGCAGGAAAAGTACGAGTGCATATTGTATAGAACAAGTTTACAACATATAATGTAATATTAGACAAAGCTATCGATCAGTGAATTCTAAATACGAAAATTAACTATCCCTTTAAAGCCAAGTGATATTAATTGATTTTTCGGATTTCTTTCTTGTAAAGGATTAAAAATTTAGTGCCACAATTATTTATAAAAATAGCTAAAAAGAGTTTGTTTAAAGAAAATCTTTAAATTAATCTTAACGGAAGTACAACTATTTCATAAATTTTTCACCTTATTTTTTTTTAGTTTTATATTTGATAGAACATTTTTCTGTCGCTTGGGATTAATCGTTTAATCCGATTACAACAGGAAACATTAAAAATTTGTTAAAAAATTCAATTTTAAACGATTTTGTTACGAAAAACTTACATGAATAATAAAAATATTTATTACATATTGTTTGTCCAAATTTAGAATTTGCGACAAAAAAAACGATATTCTATTGTTTCGAAAATAAATTTTCTTTTTTTTCTTTTTAAATAAAAAATCTAATATTTTATTTTTTTTGTAAAATAAATATTAACTTTTAGATAATAGAGTCTGCCATTAATTTAAACAAAAATGTAAAAATTAAAAGGATCGATTGGGATCTTGTCACAGAATACGATCAAAAAATAGAGGATGATTTACAGAAACAATTATCAGAAATATATCCAAAGCACAAGTAAGCATATAGAGGAAAACAGAAAGAAATTAACTAATTTACTGTAAGAAATGAAACAGTGAATTTGTAGGTTTATTGGTGAAGAAACGACTGCGAAAGAAAGTTGTTTACCAAAGCTGACCAATGATCCAACGTGGATCATAGATCCTATAGATGGTACAACAAATTTCGTACATCGATTTCCACATACGTGTATCTCTTTGGCGCTACTGATAAATAAAAAAATAGAAATTGGGATGGTGTATAATCCTCTAATGAGACAATTCTTTTCTGCAAAAAGGCAGAAAGGAGCTTTTCTAAATGGACATCCTATAAAAACATCGGACGTTACAGGTAAATTCATTTGCAAAACTTTAATTATAGGTAAAGCTTAATGAAAACAAAAAACTATCGAAATAGTTAATTCGACCAGAAAAGGGAAACGCGTTTATAGATTTTAAAAAGCAATAAATAAAAACGTTCTGAAGAAAGAAGAAGTTTAATTTTCTAAATTGTAAAAATAAATTTAACTCAGTTTTATAACAACAATGATTTTTTAATACGAAGTTGTTTGGTAGCGGTTAGCATGAATTACTTCAAAAATTCTGTAAGATATTATGAATAAAGTGTATTTTACAAATAATTATAATTAATAGTACAAATAAATGATATTATAATATATATGTATAAATAATGATTGAACAGTATGAATATTAAAGTGGTGTTTATATATCTTTAATTTTTCTAGATCTATCTCAAACATTAATTGCAATGGAACCATGGATTGCCAAAGATTCAAATTATCTCGTCACTGTATATAGTAGAATGCATGCTTTAATTCAAGGGACTCACGGGTAATTTTTTATTTTTATGTTAAATCGCCCCCCCCCCACTCTCCATTCAAAGAATAACGTTAGAATAAATAATTTTCTATTTTTAGAATAAGATCATTAGGCACTGCTGCTCTTACGTTATGTTATGTTGCAATGGGTGCAATAGAAGCATATCATATCGAAAGTATAGATGCTTGGGATGTTGCTGCTGGGAAACTGATAATAGAAGAAGCTGGAGGAACGGTAATAGATACGGCTGGTATGTATTCTATACAGTAATTATAAATCACTTGATATATTATGTATTTGAATGACTTAACATCTTGTGAATCATATTAATTCTTTACTTTAATTCGTAACTTTAATGTTACGTTCTTTTAGGTGGAGAATTAAATTTAATAAAACCGAGAGTTATAGCAGCTTGCAACCATCAGATTGCTGATCAGCTGGTCGATCTCTTTAAGCGTGCCGATTTAAAAGCTATCGATAGAAATTTAACATAAACCTTTTTAAGTTAGATAATACCATTAAGATGTAAAAAGCTATTTCAGGGAATTGAGATTTATCCTCTTTTAACCCTTGTGTAGACAACCAAGTACCTGGGTACTCATTTGTACATCTCTTGTAATAATTTTTTATGACCCCGTGAAAATGTTATACAACCGTTACAGATTCCCATTTTTTTGACACTTTTATGTACATTTACGTTGTAGAACAAAGAATATATGTATACTAAAAATTTTAAATAATTAATGTACAAACTTATTGATACGCTTGTTATACAACAGGTGTACATCGGTACTCATAAGACAAAATATAATTCAAGAAGTTGTAATAAACATTTTAGAAAGAAACTATACAAAACACATTATTTTTATATATTTATTAACATAAACAATATAATTTAAAATTATTAATTAATAATAGAACAATTTTTAGAAATTGTGATCGTGTTTGCGAGGTAGTGTGTGTTCGTCGCATGCTGGTTGTAGGCACTTCCAACAGCGTTTTCCGGTTTTCCTACGATTTTTAGCAAGACCCGACCGACAAATATTACAAAACCTGGTAATCGTTTTTCTTCTATTTGCATCTTAATGTACAGAAGTAGAAGTCGAAGCAGAAGAAATATTTGCTAATTTTCTAGAACCGTGTCTCATTATATGGGGATTCAAAGCTCGATTTTGTATATTAGAAATACATAATATTTCTCCTAGTTGAGCACTGTCCATATATTGTGTATGGAAGCTTTTTTATTATGAGCTGCCTTTTCTGCTTGAGTATTAGCATCATCAAAACGAATAATTGAAAGCGCACAACTCTTTGAATGTAAGAGTTTTGCATGTTTTCGTTTTTGTGAAATTATTGTTATTGTACTTTCCATACATAGTAATTGCCTTCCATTTGTGTGTTTCATGATAATAACCATCACTCATTTAAAAAAATAATATTGAAAGCTTTACGAATCAATAAGGTTTTTTATAAATTGATGTGGACCTTCTTTCTCTTGAATAATATTGTATGATGGTGTTTGATCGTGGAGTGGTGGTTCTTTATTCCAGATGATTCCATCTTTGACAACAAAGACATTTTGGGATGAACTACTAAGATCTTCTGCATCCATATTATCCTCCCAATGTTTTAGTAGGTGCTGCTTTCCTTATCTGATCTTTACCAATATTTTAATCCACGTCAGAATGTTCATCATTCGATGTATCTGTTTGTGGCTTCGGCAGCCAGTCTTCATTCTCGCTATTGAATGGTACATTATCAGAAGTATATTCCTCTCCCAATAATGCAATTAAATAAATGTCATTTTCCACATGTAATAGTCTAAAAAAAATATACACGTATATTCATTCTATTACTGTGATATACTAACTTCATAATTGTTTTTAGATATTGTATGTAAACTTGATACTTAAGCTGCAAATTCTTCTGCCGATAATTCTTCCATTTTCACATACAACTGTATATCTTTATAAACTGTAAACTATATTGCACAAAAACACTTTATGTTCAAAAACAAAACTGCACAAAAATTTTTACAAGACACATCCTAATTGCACGAAAAACGGATCCAGTTCTTCATTTTGTTTCCTAATTCGTTTTGTGAGTTTAAATGCTTGTTTACGTAAAGAAGATAAAAGATTTTTCATCGCTACACCAAAAGTAGACTTTGTCTTATGGAGTCAAGATAAATACGAGGAACGATTAACTTTAATATGGTATTAAATTACGATTTCTAGTAATTTTTTTGTTCAGATTTTTTAAGACTGTATTTTGTATGTTATAGCAAAGAAAAACTAGAAGATACGAAAGTATATGAAACAAAAGTTATGGCTCCCGATATGGTACCCGATTAACCTGTTTGTGCAACAATGTTGAACATTTTGGTTGTCCACACACGGGTTAATTAGCTAAATAAAAAGGCAAATCTTATACTATAATGCATATCGCAATATTAAATTTTCAAAATTTTGATAAAATGGTTATCTTCCCTGTATACAAATAAATAGCTAAATACATTGCATATTGTATTTAAATAAACTTATACAATTGTTTGTTTATAATTCTGTTTATGTAACATTGCAAATTGCATTTCAGTCTGAATATTCATGTATCAAAAATTATAAAACATACAACATATAACTTCATATTTATAATTAGTCTTTAATTTTATTGCCATTATAAACTACCATATTATGTTACACTTATGAGTTCTTTGTTTTATTCGCGAAACACTCGCAAGAAACGCTCGCAAAATGTCGCCTCCCTCTCTTAATTTTGATAAAACTGTAGGATCATAAAGCAGCCAAAAGCAAGGGATATAAATTTTTTTAACAGCAATAACTCAAATTTAAAGGAAAGAACTACCCTAATACTATCTTCGAAATTCTTACATATACAAAAGTCTTTTACACAAATATGGTTTTAAACAGAAATAAATATAGTTAATAAAACATTGATATAAAAAAATTAATAATTAAGTCAAAAAATAGTGTGTAAACATAATTGATCATGCGAAACATATAAAATTAATAACCATCTACTATTTAAAGGAGATTTTTACATTTACTCATTCTATGTTTTTAATGACCAATATGTGTACAATATGTAATTGTGAATTTAAAATAAACGTAGTTGCTTATATAGTTTGTATAAAAACTTTTAGACTACGAGAGATAAATGTAATTCTTTCAATTTTTTATCTATTCTTTTACTAACGTTATTTTCCATCTAAAACTATAAAGAATTTGTTTCAAAATCTTCTTTATACATCTAATAATTTTGAATATAGCATTAGAATACTGTGAACGAAGAATAACTTTAACGCTTAAAAATGCATTATCCATACAAGAAAAGAAAATATGAATTGCTTATTTGTGGCTGCTCTACAAAGCTGTAAAATTTCATTAGAAATCAATAATAATAGTGGGAGGAATACTTTGCAAATATTCGTTAGTAAATTTCAATATTTAATTTGTGTACACTCAAAAAAAAAAACAACTATTAATAATATTGCTTCCTACCTGTGGACCCATGTTCGATTGCATTTGTTGTGGATGGGATGCATAATTTTGTTGTTGCGGCGGTGGCTGTTGAGACGATTGAGACATAGGTGGGCCGCCAGATGGAATCGATTGACCAGTTTGATATGCCTGCGTTGGACTATGAGGATGGTGCTGGGGTGGACCCATTGGACTACCTTGTGGATTGGATGGCGATGGCGCCTGCTGAGGAGGGCCCATAGGGCTTGGAGCTTGTGGCGGTGGCATCGGGGACGATTGTGGCGAAGGACTTGCCATACTGGTATACGTGTACACAGTAACCTAAAATACACAAAAAATCATAAATTATTAATATTTTATATTAAATTACATTTACTCTATTTTAATACTTATTTACTTCATTAATCTTAATTTAAGCGATAATAGCATAATATCAGTAAAAACGTAAGAAACAACTCTTATATGAACAAAAAGTTACAGTGTAGGACAAAGTATAGAAACCTTGTCTATACGCACGTAAGAAGTCACGAAATACTTATATTATAAAACAACGATCGAATATGCTTTTTGGGATTAATCTTTTCTAAAAAACATTCCTCGGCTGGCAGTGGGTAGAAACTAGCTCATTCCAACGAAAAACCTGACAACTCATCTCGGTTTCTAATTACATACGAAGGTTTTGTGGTATCACGAACTTTACATTATGTTTAAGATAGAATTGCGCTTGTACATACCGTTTCGAAATTTATTCTTTCATCAAAGGAAATTCCTTTTTAGACATACGTCCATGTATGTTGGGTGGAGGGATTTATCGAGAACTACACCGAATCGAGCAACACTGCAAAAACACGCTATCGGCCATTTTCCTGCTGTCTCTACCCGTAATACGTTAATACGTCGGAAAACATGGCCTCACTTTGAAACTACTCTTTCCGCCTATGTTTTATTTATCCAATAAATAAAGACTCGATCGTAAGGTCAATAATAATACACAACTTATAAACAAAATGTACTTATAGACAAATATATAAGACTTTATCACATTCGTAAACGAGGACTGCAATGTTAGATGAAATTCTCACATGAAAGCTTAATTATAATATAATAAAGATTTCAATAATTTCATTATACATACAAAATTTTAAACTAGCGGAATTGTTTATACTTTGTCCAACAGAAAAGAAACGTGGGTAAACAAAACCATGTGATCTGCAATAACACGAAATCACACGAAACTTAGTGATCTTCTGTCTCGAATAAATATGGGTTCAATAAAAATTTCATAAGTTACCATTGTGTAGTAATTAGTTCTGCTGTGAAAGAGTTAATAAGAGAAAATATGTATATAGAATCATAAAAAGTGATAGAAATAAAAATATATTTATCGATCTTTTTTTTTGCATTAGACCCTTTGATTATATAACTATGGACTATTAACAGTAAATTTCAGTGCCTGTCACCGGTGCAAGTTGAAATTATACGCTATTGTTTTAAAAGATGGTTAAATACTGCTTTGTAAATGACTGTAGCAGTACTAGGTACAAAATCAAAAGAAACTAGGATGAAGAAAAACTATTTGTTTACCAGTACGTAAATTATTTCTATTATTTAACCTCCATTACAATTATTATCACATTAATATAAAATGTATGCATGAAGATGTTTAAATGTATTCAAATTTTCCTATTCGTATGTTTATTTAAGTTAGTACTTTGTATGTACTAAGTATTATTGTAAATGTAGATATTATTAAAAAAATAAAGATGTTATTGTAAAGATTAAATTTTGTATCTACGGAATATTATACAATATAAACTTGTGATTTCTATTCTTCATAGATTTGCACAAGATGTTTATTAAGAATAAATGTATAAGAAAGTGAAGAGAAAAGAGTAAACAGAGCAATGTTTTTGTACCATCCCAGACGAGGTATACAATATCAGTGTGGCCAGATCTGGCATAATTAAGTGCATCGAAATCGACAACAGTGACGACGAACTTCCTTAGCGTCTAACGGAATGGTGGGGATAGCAGGCATACACTACCGCACGAGCCACGTGTACGTGAGCTCGGCACTTCGCACAACTTCGGCAAATCGATAAAGAACGCTAGTGTGAGCCTTTCCTTCTTGCTCTTGTAAAAGAGAAACAGCTGAAATACGACCTCGCGATAATCGGCATACGATTCCAAGTCTCGACTGCCCCAGCATTTTTACTTTCCGACCTATGTAAGGTATAAGGAAATTTATAAAGTATCATAATGAAAAAAAATTTCGAAATTTTTTTTTAGCGGAAATACGCGTTTTGGGACCCCCTGATCATATTGTGACTATTGAAAAAAACGATATTTTTTTTGTTCCTATGCTATTAACATGAATGCATTACACGACTAATTGTAAGTGAATTTCAATAACGAAAAAAATATTTCGAAATTTTTTTTTAGCGGAAATACACGTTTTAAGACCCCCTCATCATATTGTGACTACTACAAAAAAACATATTTTTTTTTGTTCCTATGCTATTGACATGATTGCGTCTAAACGGCTGAATGAATTTCAATGAAACTTAACATTTAAGTTTTATGTTCTCGTTTTAAGGTCTCATTATATTTTAAGCGTGATCAGTTCCCATATAATGATGATTATACGTCTGTAGTTTTATAATTATTTCGATACATATACATCATTTGTAACAAATTTTTAAAGCGATTTATATAAATCTTAAGAAGGATTAAGATCAAATATACTTTTCTCCTATCTTTCCTAGACAGGAAAAATTAAACGAAATCTTATGCCTTGCATACCTACCTAAACCACATAAAAAACGTATTCCACAAATATTTTAGAATAATGTTGTTCAAAGCAGTCTTACTCGTAAAGGGTTAATTAAGGGTTAATTAAAATGAAAAACCACTCTTAGCCAGTACCGTGCACGCTACAGAAATAGATTACTACTGACTTTTCCCACTATGTTTTTTAATAACCGTATCAAATTGTTACACACAATCAAATGTTATATATTTGACTTAACTTTACATAACAAAATAATTGTAACGATAGGTAAAACAATAACGTGCACGCTACCGTTCAATGGAAACCACGGGAAGGTGGTGGTCACTTCCATCAGGAGGGAAATGTACAAAATTGTTATTTCTTTGTAACATTATCACATGCCATATATTAGAACGTCTATATTCTTCTTTCCTTTTTTTTGATTCCCCTCTAAATTCATTTCTGCAAAATGAAATATATTTTGTATCCTTTAGAAACAAAACGTATTTCTAGTGTTTTACAAAACACTAAATTTTCTATTTATATTGACGAAACATCCGACTCGACCAACGAGAAATGGATGACGTTTCTTGTTCGTTATGTTGCACCCGAGACTTTGGATGTTCGAACGGAATTGGTAGAATTATTACATCTTGATGCCAGAAATTGTGGCGCAGATAATTTATTTAAAACATTTGAAATTGTCATGATAGAAAGAGAAATTCCGTTCGAAAATATTGTCGCGTTGTCATGTGACAACGCTGCTGTTATGACAGGGCGACACTCGTCCTTTATGACAAAGCTTGCAACAAAATGCAGGGACAAATTTTTGACTGTCCGCTGTCCGTGTCATCTGTCTGCAATGGTAGTGCGCGAAGCGTGCAATACCATTCCAGACATATGCGAGGAGTTGTTACGAAAAGTAGCAACTTTCATATACAGTAGTCCCAAACGTTCGGCTATATTCCGCGAATTTCAGCAATGTTTTCAAACAACCGACCGAAAAATTTTAAAATTGTGTTCTACGCGATGGTTATCGCATTATGCATCCGTAGTTACACTTTTAGAGAATTGGGACTCTGTATTGCTTTTTCTGCAAGAATTGACAATAAGCGAGAAATCAGAGTCCGGGGAACGTCTGTTAATCTCGATGCAAAATCCAGAGGCCGAAGCATATCTTTATTTTCTAAATTACGCTCTTGAGTTTTTTTATAAATTTAGCATTTTCTTTCAAACTCAAGAGACAAGAATTCATTTGCTTCAAAAGACTGCGGCAGAACTTTTATGCGATATATTACGCAATTTTCTGAAACCGCAGCTTTTGAAACACATGGATTTAGTAAGAATGATGAATTTTTCTGTAGTCGAAAATCAACTCCCATTTAATAGTATAAATTTAGGAACAGAGTGTCTTAATTTTCTGCATCAACTGAATGCAGAAGGCAAGTCCGACATCGTAGAAACCGTAAGGAAAAATTGTTTAATGTTTTATATTACAGCTGCAAATGAAATTGGCAATCGATGATGAATTTCTTAGCAAGTTGTATGTTTTTGAGCCCACTTTTATATTAAATGATACAAATAGAGACATTTCCTTCAGAAATGTTCTCTTAATTGCTAAGAAATTCGGCGGTTTCGACGAAGAAGGACTGCAAACAGAATGGTCAGTATTGCCTTTGGAATTTACAACGAAAGGTAGACAGACACTTATCGAGATGAAATTCGATGGTTTCTGGAAAACAATTTTATTAACGCGAAATTTGGACTATAAAATTAAATTTGCTGAATTGATGAAATTAGTAAATACAATTAGATCACTTCCAAATTCCAATGCCGATGCAGAAAGATTGTTTTCCATGTTACCTGGCATAAAAACAAAGAAACGGAATAAACTTTCTTCGGCCAGCGTCAACTCTATTTGCGTTGTGAAATCTTCGTTAAAGGCGCAGAGGGAAAACTCTCAACCCATGGAGGTAGATGACGATCATCTAGCTCTATTGTATTCCAAAAATTTATATCATAGATTTGCTAAGAAGCAAAAGTGTAATTTAAGATTAAACGCAACATATGACAATAACTTTGAGAATTTTCCCGCTACGTCATATGACGAAAATTAAGGTACCGATTTACTACAGAGCTTTTCTCTAGAGAGATTTTTCTCTCCAGAGAAAAGCTCTATAGTAAATTCGTACTATTAGGCTGCAATGACAGTATAAACGTTTTCATGCGACGTAGGCGCAACAAGGTGTGATGCATGTATGTGCCATAACGTCACGCGAAAGCGCTTACACTGCAACCGCAGTCTTGTTAGTGATGTCCAAAATATTTTTTTTTGGACATCGCTAATATGTAAATAGTCGTTCAATTTGTCTCGCGTTGTTACTTTTTTTACGTATTTCGCTTGCTGTAAATACTATTCTGCTTGCTCTAACTATCATCTTTTTTCTTCATTTATTTGCTTATATTTTGCCGTATATTTTTAGTTAGTGAAATTGCTTGCTGTAGATAGTGTGGCTATGACGTAGAATGTCGCGCCTTGTTACACTTACGTCACGGTACCGTAAGAGCAACAATGCACGACATAACGTGCCAGCTTAATCGCAAACGTCCTATCCCGACATCCCATCCTTTGGAAATGTAAACAATTATATCATTTTTCCATTTTTATGGCTCGTGTGTATATTAATAAAAATTAATGCATTCACGAGTTAGTTTTTCATTATATTGTAATTTCATTACATTAATAAAAACATTTTAATATACGGCATGTGATAATGTTACAAAGAAATAACAATTTTTTACTGAACCTTGAAGTTCAGCCGTTTAGATGCAATCATGTCAATAGCATAGGAACAAAAAAAAAATATGTTTTTTTGTAGTAGTCACAATATGATGAGGGGGTCCTAAAACGTGTATTTCCGCTAAAAAAAAATTTCGACATTTTTTTTCCATTATGATACTTTATAAATTTCCTTATACCTTACATAGGTCGGAAAGTAAAAATGCTGGGACAGTCGAGGCTTGGAATCGTATGCCACTTATCGCGAGGTCGTATTTCAGTTGTTTTGTCTTTTACAAGAGCAAGAAGGAAAGGCTCACACTAACGTTCTTTATCGATTTCCCGAAGTTGTGCGCAAGCGCCGAGCTCACGTACACGTGGCTCGTGCGGTAGTATATGCCTGCTATCCCCACCACTCCATTAGACGCTAAGGAAGTTCGTCGTCACTGTTGTCGATTTCGATGCACTCAATTATGCCAGATCTGGCCACACTGATACAATATACAAAACAAGTCAGTGTAGCCAGATTTGGCATAATTGAGTGCATCGACAGCGACACTAGTAACGACGAATTTCCTTAGCGTTTAACGGAGTGGTGAGGAAAGCCGACATATCCTACCGTACGAGCCACATATTACGCAAGGTCAGCACTTGACGCAACTTCGGGAAATCGATGAAGAAGGGACATAATTTCAATGGCACATAATTTCGAATCTCGACTGCCCATGCATTTTTACGTTCCGACCCATATAGGCACATATAAATATATATGTATATATATATATCAAGAAACAATTCTAAATTCGCAGCTATTAGCTCGGTGTTACCCACGAAGAAGAACGTTTCTATCGTGGGTAACACCGATTACCAGGTCTCACCACGTGGAGGTTGCTGCGAGTGGAGACCTGTAGAGAAATGGATGGAATCCAAGTTCCATCTCAGTGGCGGATTTAGGGAAAAAGGCCCAGGTGGCAAACGTCCTGAGGGGCCCATTTTTCGGGAAAAATGAAGAAATAGTTTACTAAAAACGGGCTAAGTGTAGTAGTACAGATGTAATTATATTACTATGTAGTTTTATACATGTTTATACATGATACTTATTATGTAGTTTTAAATCCTCGTCTTGCTTTCTGTTCAGCAAATATTTCGATTGTCGAATACAAATCAATTTTATTCGCAACTGCTTTTTCGATATAAAGAATACTGAAGTCATTAAGGGTTTCCTCAGCTAGAGTGGCACGGCGATATTCTTTGATTCTTTTCAAAGAGCTCATGCCCCTTTCGGCGCTCGCTGTGGTAACTGGTAATGTTAGGTACAATCTGAACAGACTACAACACTCCGGAAAGCTGTCCATCAAATTATGTTTCACAATAAATCCCAAATACTGCAAAGGACTGTCATTTGAAGAATCATGCTGTTGCGCGAAATACAAATCAGCGAAACTGGACAATTCATGTTTGAGATCAGTTGTAAAGAAATCAGTATATTTCTCTAACAAAATACTTGTGCTGGTCTCAAAATCACTTGGTTTCATGCTGTGCAGTATTTCAGGCATTAAAAAACCAAAAACGTTATTAATCTCTTTGAAACCGTTTGCACGATCCTGTAATTCGCAACACATTGTATCGAGAACTTCGTAATAACTGGCTCGATGCTTGTCAGGCGTCTCTAAAACACAGTCAACGCTATTTTCACCAGGCATTTTCTTAATTTTCCGTTTTCTTGCAACTGGAAAATCAGCACGTTCCAAGCTCATTTTTCCCCACTGACTTCTCGCTTTTGTGATGAAATTATTGTAGGCGCTTTCATCCCTTAAATCTCTCATTTTCTTCAATGCTGCTGAAGTGCAATGCTGCGCCGTTATCAAGTTTAATTCTTTCTTCTGCAGTTGAATTTGCGCAACACTGATTACTTCAAGCACAGAATGCCACCATAACAAATTCAGAAAAAATAACCAATTTAATGAAGAAAGCAATGATTGAGCAGTCATTATGTCATCTCCAGTAGCTGCGTCCCTTGAAATTTCCTTCTCCAGACAATCCACGATGCACTCGAAATTTTAGATGAATGCTTCCATAGCTTTTATACGTGCAGCCCAACGGGTTGTACTTAAACCTTTAATGTGGAGTACTCGTTCGCGTGATTTGTGAGCTTCATCGTATGTTCCGTCCGGTCAGCTCGGGTTTTTCCGTTCGTTTATGGTGCCAGATGCGGAACCTTGACTTTGTCGAAAAAGTCTTCGAACATTCCGCATCTGGCAAATTTCATCGTAAAGCATTCAAGCACTTTAGCTTTTCGAAAGTGCAAGGCCCGAGTTGACCGACGAAGGGCTGCATTGTTCCGCGGGTGGCACGGTCCTCTACAACGACCGTCGCCAACTCATGGAACAATGCAGCCATAAAACGTCTGCAACGCACGTGTAGCTAGGCGTAATTCGGAGTCCCGTTTTTTCCTCGGCAAAATTAACGGGGCCTTCGACTTGGGGAGGAAACCTCGGTCACCCTCGTCCAGGGTGAGATGGGACTCTTCCTCCTCCACGATCGCGCGAGGGAGGAGTTTCCTGGCCAACGGGGCAGGAAAATCGATCCTCCTCCCCCAAGTCGATGGCCAATCGATAAACGGAAGAAGTCAACGCGAATCGGTTGACGAACCCCCAAAATCGCGTCTCGGAGGGGGTTCAAGCCGAGGAGGAAACGGGCTCCGGACACTTCGACACTCGTCGCTGAAACCTCAGACAACAACGATCGAAATCTTTAATTCGTCGCTAAAAGTTCGAAGACAACGGTCTAAATCCACTTTAACTCGTCGCTGAAATCTCAGAGTAAACGTTCCAAAATCGGCAGTTCAATTGTCTCGTGAACCATTCGTTATTCGAACATCATTTCGCGAAACCTCAGCTCAAGCGGTTCGTGAGCAACAACTCGTGATTCGACATTAAAGAGAACAGCCGGATTTCGATTCGAAACAATCCGGCAATTAACTAGTCGCTCAAGATTAATTTGGCGAGCGACGGCTAGGAACCCGCGTACCACGAGGGTTAAGAGGGCCTTACAACCCCTCAGAGTTTAAAAGAAAACTCACGCGACTACCTGGCCAGTACCGCCGCGACGGTACGATTCATCGTATGATAATCCGTCTTCTGTGTCTGCATCGGATTCGAAGATCTCTTTTTTAAGGTCTTTTAAAAGCTGAATGCCAAAACTGTTGGAGTTCCGTGATGGATTTTTGCTTGCTTCTAAAAGTTCATCCCATCGTCTGTGAGAATGCGCAAAGTAATTGTAAATTCTTTGGATTATCGCAAAAAACACTTTAATCGAAGAACTCGCATTTTCTTCCGCAGCATGCACCAAAACCAAACTTGATGATTGATACAGTGAATATACGGAACAAATGTCTCATCGCCGACATATTCCTTCATTTTCGCTTGCAAACCACCTTCACGTCCTGACATTACCGCTGCACCGTCATAGGCCTGACCAGACAAATACTTCTTCTGGAAACCATATTTATCAAACAATATGGCGGTTATAATATTGCAAATAGATGTAGCATCCCCTTTTGTCAGTTGAACGAAGCACAAAAAACTCTCTTTGATACATATTGCAGACGCAGTTAAACCTTCATTCTGAATAACAATGTATCGTAACAAAATAGCCATTTGGTCCAAGTGAGCAATATCCGTCGTTGAGTCAGCGATTAACGTGAAAAATTTGGCACCTTTACATTCATCAACAATAAACTTTCTGGTCTGATCAGCTAATGTACTGAGTAACTCATATGTTATTGTTTTACTTAAATATTTGATTCGTTCTGGCGATTCAAGATGCGCATGTAGAATAGGATTATGGCGAGAAATCAATTTAATGATACTCAAATAAATACCGGGATGCTCAACCTTTTGTAAATTTTCACGGTGACCACGAAAACCAACGCCCAAACCAGATAAAGTTTTCACAGTGTTAAAAAGTATATTCAAAATTGCGCGCCATTTCTTAGCTTCTTCGCTTATTTGTTGTTCGAGTTTATGACGAATATCATTTTTCTGGAGAAATGTTGCAGCAGCGACTGCATTGCTGAGATGGGCTTTACTTAAACTATGTTGTGTGACCGATTGATGACAATGTTTCCAGTCTGTGAAACCAACGTACCAAATGCTTTTTTTCGCAGTTTCATCGCCAAATAACCAACAGTAGTGACAATAAGCATAATTTTTTGTTGGTGAATAAGATAACCAGGGACTGTAGTTATCTTCCATGAAAGGCTTTTTTTTGTTCTTATAATAAAACGAAGAGTTGAATCGACGTTTGTCACTCGATTGTTTGAATTCCCCGCCAGGCATATCACATTCTCTAGGCTGGCAAGGGCCTGTCAACAAAAGAGCTCTGATTTGATCCACATTCAAAGAAATCCCACTAGCATTATCATAAAGACCTTTATCATTCTCAAATTCAAAAATTTTTGGTGTTGATCCAGTAGGAAGCACAGATGTTGTTGCTGGTCGATATACCTTTTCGTTTGATATATTCATAGACGTAGAATTTACGGGGTCACTTTCATTAAACTTTTCTGCAACGTAGCCTGCTCCACTGGACGTTGCAATGACAGGTTCATTATGAATCGTAGTTTCGCCTTGACTGATCACAGGTTGATTGGTTGCTTCATTTACAGTCGCATCTTCACATTCGGCACTATCTTCATTTTGGTTTTTAGTAGAGATAACAGAACTACTTTGAAAGAATTTTCGGACTTTTGCTTGTCTTGGATCATTCGCTGCCTCTTCCATCTTCCATTTCTCTTTCTCTTTCCTCTTCATGAATCCACTCTTCGGTTTCTTATCCTTATCCATTATTTGTGAGGCCTTATTTCCACTTGCGATTAGTCGCGAAACTACAATATCCTCTGGCGTATATGGCACGCGACTGACGGTTCCGCGACTGACGGTTCCGCGACTGCCGGTTCCGCGCGGTTCAAACAAAAGAGTTAGTCGCAACATTGTTAGTCGCAAGTGGAAATAAGGGCTGAGAGCAGAGATGGGCAAAATTTTCATTTAAATAAATTTCGTATAACGAATGAAAGTTAAAAAAATTATTCGTCATGTGTCGAATAAAATTGACTCGGGTTCGTCGCATAAAGTTAATTTTTTTATTCGTCGTACGTTTTAATTTTGGCGTCGAATAGATTTTTCAACTTCAACTTTAACTGCAACTTCAACTTTAACTTTAACCTTATTCGACGCCGAATAATTTTCTGGCGCGTGTTCAAGCCGCAAAGGACCGGGGATTGAGGCCTGGCGCGCGCATTACAATGTAGTATCGCCCAATGACGGTCCTCGGCAGGTCAAACACGCGCTAGAAAATTATTCGGCGACGAAAAAAGTTAAAGTTGAAAAATTTATTCCACGCTGAAGTTGAAACGCTCGACGAATAAAAAATTAACTTTATTCGTCAAATAATCTACAGTTAAAGTAATTTGTATTTGATACGTTTTTTAAATAATTGTTTATTTAGTCAATGCCCAACTCTGACTCGTGGTGACTTTGCGTGGTGACGGGAGAGGAGGGCCGGGGCCACTACACCTGAAGTCCTGAGCGGCACGCGTCGAGGCAGCCGTTTCCGGATGAAAATTGGAAACCCCGAACGCTTCCAGAAGGATCGGGGGTCAACTGGGCAGCCGGTAAACGAATGGGCATGATAGAGCGAGAGTTTTGGAGCGAAAGAATTCAGAACGTGCAAGCGAGACTGAGTGTGACATGGAAAGCGCGAATATATAATAAACAGAACTGAGCTGTATTATACAATTATAATAAATATATTATTATCCTGACACAAACAAGTTGGAATTACAAAACTATTCCTATAGTATGCTGTATACATAACAGAATTACAAATAAATTTACGCATGTACGGTATGAAAATTATGACAAACAAAAAAAAAAATTTTTTTTTCCAAGATGGGGCCCTGGGAGGCCGCCTCGGCGGGGGCCCAGGTGGCACCTGCTCATTTGCCACCCTGTTAAATCCGCCACTGTTCCATCTATCTTCCTTTTACATTCTTACAAGCTAGATTACTAAACTAAAGAAATAGAAGGAATCAATGTTCCTTCGATCTTCTAGTTTAGTTGTACCAAGTAATTATTTCGTTTAAAAAGGGATGAAGGTAAATCGAGAGAGACGCGACGCGATGTCGATCAGCAGTGATCGACGCAAGGAACGAGGAACTTTCCTTCTTTTCGCGCATTTTAATCGTATTTGGTGCGATTTTTCGATAAAATGAGAAAACAGTAGGAAAATTATTTTTGGTTGCATGAGTCAATTACAAAAATTTCGAATCGTTCTGGAAAAATTATTTACGATTGCAGGGGTCAATTATCATTTTTGGTAATAGACATATCCTTGAATTCCTACGAATTTTCGAGAAAAAAAATTCTCGTCCCCAGGTAGGAATCGCGATTGTAAAAGAAATACAATAAACATTCCAAGCTACCGTTTTTCTTTTGATAGTATGTGAAACACACACGAGATATACGAATAAACCTGTCATCTTATGAACTTTGACGACTCAATCAATCTGACTGCCAAATCGAGATATTTTTTAAGTAAATAAGGTTTTTCGGTGTAGTTGTCAATGAGGTACATCCTTACGTATTTTAATAATCTTTAAATCTTTAAATAATCTTAATCGATTGATGCTCAATTCTGGACAGCATAGCAATCATTCCGTTAAAAAACACTAAAATTTATGTTATTTCATTTTCTGTCTCACTTCCACTTGTGTTTGCTTCTAAATCTGTTGGTAACGTTGCAAGTGACACGAAAATGGTAATGGGGCTCTAGAGCCCCATAAAAATGGACCGAAAAAATACATTGGGTGAAGCGCTACTCATATACCTCGTCTGTGGTGAAAGGTTTACTCGTATACCTCGTCTGTGATCCTACCTTCAGCCAGCAGCGCTACATAATTGACCCCCGCAACCAAAAATAATTTTTTCAAAATAATTTGAAATGTTTCAATTTCGCCGAAACTCCCTATCTATTTTTCTTTAAAATTTATTTTTCATTTTTAATAATAAAATTTATTAAAAAGAAATAAAATATGTGAAATTCCTACCCTTTTTTCCCCCGAAAAATTTAGGCACCTACGGTCGGTTTTTCTTAAAACTTAGTTTTTGATTTTTAATTTTGTTTGACGTTGTACGGAAATGTTGTTTAGTACTTTTTTGTAGGTATTCATGAGTTCTACTTCATAAATATATTTCAATGAAATGCACTCACTATTATAGGAGTTATAGTCGTTTGAAAATTGGACTATATGTATGGAGGTTTTTTTCACTTGACGGGGTTAAGGAACAACTTTTCTAACATTCTTAGAATTTCTAAGTATTCTTCACTGTCATGTTCAATCTTGTTTTCGTTTGGAGAACCTCATCAATCCATTGATTATACTTTCTGGATAATATATGAGGAAATGTTACAAAGTAGGTGCGCGCGGGAGCGCGTATGCTGTGTGTGTGCGTGAGGACAGTGGACGATCGTCCTGTTCGTCCGCGACGAGTCAGTCGCTAAGGTGGAGTCAAAGAAAAAGCACGTGTAAAGTCCATCAGATTACCTATTTTATTCTCATTAAATATTGTTCCTCATTTAAGTGGTTAGATTACCGTCTTTTCGTCACCCCTCTCTACCACATCCTACAAATGGGGGCTCGTCCGCCGAGAGGATAGTCGAGAAAACGGGTTAAAAGTGGAAAAGTTCGAGCGGTCGTACTACGAAGTAACCACAAAGGCATAAAGTGATAAAGTGATAAAGTAAGCTTAGTGGCGAATCAGTGGTGTGAGCGAATCGAAAAAAACAGAAAGTAAAAGTGACTTGTGAGTGAAAAAATAGAAGGAAATGGATAAAACGGACGACGGAAATAACGGCAGCGAAGAAACCGTAATGGCCAGCGAGATTGCGACGCAGAAAGAAGAGAAATCAAAAGGCAAAGAAATCGACAAAATGAAAATCAGTGAGCTACGCAAAAGGTTGAGCGAACTGAGACTGGAAGCGACAGGTAAAAAAGCAGATTTAAGAGAAAGATTAAAGAACTACATGAAAGGCAAGGATGACATAGAAGAAGAAACTGAAGAATCTGAGGAAGACTCAGAAAGTGAAGATGAAGAATTTGATAAGACCGGAAGTAAGCAATATAAGGGCAGATCGATGGGAAAAGCGTGCAGCGGACAATCCAGTATTTTTACAATTAAAGATGTTGAGGAGTCCATACCGTATTTTGCAGGCGACGATAAGTTACCTATCAAAAAATGGATCCAAGATTTCGAAGACATGGGTACGTTATTGCAATGGAACGATCTGCAGATGCTGATTTACGCAGAACGCATGTTACGAGGGTCGGCGAAATAATTTATCACGGCAGAGGAAGGTATCCGATCATGGGGAGAATTGCGTAAGCGATTGGAAAAAGAATTTAAAACGGAGACAAACAGTGCTGTGGTACATTCAGAACTGTATCAACGGAAAAGATTGCCTCAAGAAACTGGACGACAATATATATATTCGATGCGCGAAATAGCCAGCGAAGGTAACGTCGAAGAAGGTGCCCTTATCGAGTACATAATTAATGGAATTCAGGACAGAGAATATAACAAGGCTATTCTGTATCAGTCACGTACGATAAAAGAATTGAAAGCTAATCTAGAAATATACGATAAAATGAAAGAAAAGGCTGGAAGGAAGTTGAACTATGGTAAGAAAGAAGAAGTAAAAGAAAAGGAAGAGGCATCCGCTAAAACAAAGAAGCCTCGTTGCAACACGTGTGGATTGCCAGAACACGACGCTAAGAACTGTCCAAATAAAGGTAAGGGGCCAAAATGTTTTAAATGTAACAATTTTGGGCATATAGCGAACAAATGCACGGTAAAAGAAGGAAACAATACCGAACCTGCAAACGTAAATTGCATTGCGAATCCTAAATCGACATACCCAATAAAAATAAACGAGAAAAAATGCCAAGCGTTAATTGACTCTGGGAGCGATATCTCATTGGTACGAGAGGCGAAGCACAGGGATATCGGCAGACCGGCATTAAAAACCACGGCGATGAATATAACCGGCGCAGGCAACGCAACGACGAAGGTCATCGGCGCCTTTGATTCGGACATACTGGTAGATGGAGAGACACATAGTCTCAAATTCTATGTTATTCCAACATACTCAATTCCGCACGATGTTATTTTGGGGCAGGATTTTCTGAAGAACGTAAATATTCAAATACACAAAGGTGAAATAATCAAGATCCAGAAGATAATAACGACGGCAAAGGATGTACCGGCGAGCAGTGAAAGTCCGGAAAACGAAGAAACGACCATCAACGTAGAAGAGGAGGCGGCCACGGGTAGTGTTGACAAAGCATTTGCAGAATTGCGAGAAATCATGTATATCGAAAAAGGTGAAGTGAATGTGAGGGACGCATACAAGGACAAAATACTCAAGCTAATTAGCGAATATCAGCCAGCGAAAACGGCAAATACGAAGGTAACGACAAAAATTGTATTAAAAGATGATAAGCCTCTTAACTGCAGACCGCGACGGTTAGCGCCAAAGGAAAAAGCGATATTAGATAAACAGGTAAATGAATGGTTAAAAGAGGGAATTATTCGACCGAGTAAGAGCGAATTTGCAAGTCCGGTAGTCATAGTTCCGAAAAAGAATAATTTTTATAGAGTTTGCATCGATTATAGAGAATTGAATAAGAAAATCGAGCGTGATCATTTCCCGATGTCGCTCATCGAGGATAGAATAGACGAGTTAAGAAAGGCGCGCGTATTTTCTACAATTGATTTAAAGAATGGAT